AAGTTGTTGAACTACAGAAATTAATAAATTATTCATTGACCAATGATTAATTGGGGAATGTAAACTGACGATTCTTTTTTTCTGAAGGTTCTAGGATAACTTCTGATACAGTACAGTACTGTATTGTATTGTACTATACTGTACAGTACGGTATATGGAAATGAGCTTTTGTAGCACCTAACCCTCCCTCACTCTGTGTCTCTGCTTTTAATTACAAGAACTGTCTGGCTTTATAACATTGTTGAAAGTTAAGAATTGAACTTGAAATTCTGTTTTGAAACTGTATGTACCCAGACAACAGACATCTTTTCTCACTCCCTGGGTTAGTGGATAAGTCAGCTGGAACTGAAATGAGTCTGTAATTCGGGAACTCCTGGGTGTGGAGTGCGCTAGAAAACGGGATTTCTGGATTGATCCCCATCTTTCTGACCTTGCCGGAGAAGTTGCAAATACTCGTGATTAACATTGAGTTTTTAGAAAGATTAGTTGGGGCTGTGAATCAGCTATCTTGCTACAAACTGACCCCTAGACCTCAGTTGCAAAGTTTGAGTGAACATACTATAGGCTCTGATTGATCATAGGACTTTATGCACTCTGCCATGCTTGTTGACATTACTCTCAGTCTACCAGGTGAACTTGCTAACATTAGTATCATCTAATCCTAGTGGAATATTATTTTTCTGCTTGTTTGTCCAAAATATTGACATACCGTATTGCTAACAGTATTACAGTACAGTATTATAAAACTGTACTGTGTAAGTACAGTAATGTATATTGTATACTCTTCATTTCCATCACTGGTGTGCAGTGTAGTGTACTTCATGTGTTAATAATGGAAAATAATGCAATGTTTATAATAATTTTCCATACGGATAATAACTCTGCCTGGTTATTGTTTATGAATTTGTGCAGTAAACAAAGGTCCTATTATAACTTGTTTTTTGGGTTATTTTGGAAGTAAAATATTTTGAGTAGTCCAGGACAGTAACCTGCATGTATTACATTATACACAGTACAGTAGGTGATGCCTAAAAAGTACAATACTACATTACTACCACATTAGTCTGATAATTATTTGTTATCACTGTTCATTCTGTAATGTTCAGAGAATTCCTGTTGTGTAAAAACTGATTGTTGTACAGGATTTGAATATAATACATAACTGGAACTTAAAAAGGAGTTTATTGAAAGACTGACCATACTGTTTAAAACAACTGTCAATTATGAAAGCATTGTTTAAAATACAGTATACTGTACCTTATTATCCAGAAACATAGCATATTATTTAGCTGTGTCCATTCATGGAACTTGAATTGAAGTGTATACATTGGGGGCAGATTTTCTGTTCCACAAAATAGGGGAAAGTAACCCCTTACTTGTAAGGCGGTGAAGAGAGGTCTTTAATAACATGTGAGGACTGTCCTCTTCTAGGGTTCCAGCTCTATGAAATTTGAGATTTTAAAGAATTTCTTTTAAATATTAGGTAAGCGGATTATTCTGAGGTTGGAACAACCTGTAGTTACTTTGTTCTTGTGAGACTCTTATTAGGGGTATGGGCAACCTGCAGTCCTTGGGCAGCCTAAGACATGAACCAGGTCTTTGTGTGGCCCACAGAGAGATTGAGAAATTCTATTTAATGTGGACCACGGTTCAGGTAGATGCAGCCAGCTTATGGTGAGTAAAGCAATATTTATTAAAATAATAATCATTACACACAATCCATTATGGTTTCATCACCTAAGGGTAAATAATTATGAAAATGTATCAGTGAATTAATATGTATATATAGTCAACAATATAAACATTTTAACTTGGGTGAGTTTGCGGGCCAAGTTCGGCTCGGTCTACTTGATGGATTAACTGCTATGTGGCAGTGAGTCACTTGGGAATTACTTAGATTTATTTATTTTTTAGATTGCCACCACGGGGGCTAGTTTATTTGGCACTCCCTTACATCCTGTGCAAGGTGAAGCGCAGAAGCATTTACAGCGCCCTTTTGGAAAGTATGCATAGTTCATGCTTGCCTTTGTGACTCTGCATTAAGCGCGTAAAAGCCTGAAGGGTCATGGGTTTTGTCAGCAAGTTACATAAATTGACAGAATGATGAGTGTGTGGGGAAAATTCCCGGTACAATTTAGCTGTTTATGGCAAAGTGTGGCAGGTCCCTAATAATGTCAAATGCCAGGTCTGTCACTAGGAGGAGGGATATCTGGTCAGGGAGGGAAGAGGTGTTGGTAACGGCTGGGGACCTGTAGGAGGAGGTCAAAGGGCAAGTGAGGATGTAGTGAGAGAGGGTGTGAGAGTCGGGTTGACCACAAAGTTTACAAACAGTGCGGCCAGGCTCAGGGTTGCTAATGTGCTAGGTGTGGTGTAGTACAGTGGGGGTGGAGGTGGTATGGTGTGGTGGGACAGGTACAGTAGGGGTGGAGGGAGGCACATTGACAATATTGAGGGACATACCTTTTAGTGTGGTTGTGATGGCGTGTGCGTCGACATGCCGGTGGGGTACGGGTAGCCGGGGGTGGTGTCCTCAGGTCCAATAGGTAGCCCTGGTGGAGACAGCACAGACACAGGAGTGGGCGCGGCTTGCGGTGGGTGGAGGACAGGTTGAGGCACCAAGTGTCGTGAAGATGAGGCAGGACTTCGCTCGGGGGCAGCAGGACACACCAGGGCAGTAATGATGGCAGATGGCGGTGGGGTAGGCCGTGAGCAGGGGGGGACTCACAAGGGGACTACCAGCTTGTGTCAAACCAGAAGAGAGGAGTGACTGGGTGGCAACAAAGTGCAAGAGTAGGTCGGAGACAGTGGTACAGAGTGTAACGAAGAGTTTTTCAATATGGTTGGTAAATTCTTGGAAGAGGGATATGATCTGTGTCATGTCACTGGAGGGGGGTTGTGGGAGGGGCACTGGTAGGAGCACAAGGCCTGACAGTGTCAGAATAGAGACAGGGAGGAGGCCCAGTAGTAGTTGAGTTAGGAGATGGCCGGGACTGCTGTGTTGCAGCCAGGTGAGGCCAGGCAGGGGCAGGTGTTGTTGAAGAAGGCGTTGCTGGAGACAGAGGGAGGCAGCCTTCGGAGAGGCTTTTCCCCTGGGACAGATGGGCGATTGGGGCATTGCCGTGAGTCAGCATTGTGCTGGCCTCCACAGTTACAACACCTGGGATCAACTACATGGCCCACACCACCCCCATTTAGGTGGCGTTTGATTTTCTGGGCACAGGCGGCGGAGTTATGGTTACGTGAACAGAAACTACATCTGGGACGATTACGTCGGCAGCAGGCGGTGAAGGTGTGACCCCAATGAGAACAGATAACACAAAATGCAGGCATAGAATGATAGGGTTCTACATAAAGTGTGGAGAGGATTGGGTGAGCCTCCACAGTCGTTGAAACAGTGTCACCACGCCGGACACTGGGACACCTCAGCCCACACAAGTGGAAAGACCCACAGGGACAAGTCAACCCACACAAGAAGAAAGACCCACAGGGAGAGCTCAGCCCACAAAAGTAGAAGGACCCACAGGGACAAGTCAACCCACACAAGAAGAAAGACCCACAGGGAGAGCTCAGCCCACACAAGAGGAAAGACCCACAGGGACAGGTCAACCCACACAAGAGGAAAGACCCACACCAGACGCAAGTTACGCACAACCACTGGATCCAGCTGACTGGCCATCTGTAATTACTGCTTCTATCAGAACAGATCTGATTATGAGAGGTCCATTTCAGGTAGACCCAGATTTTCCTTTACCCAAAGTCAAGATTATAGAAGCTTTCATCACTACCACATGCAGAGAATTTTAGTGAATGGAGAAACGATTAAGCGAAGCTGGTTGGTTTACTCCAAGTAAAACAATGCCACCTACTGCTTTTGATGCAAACTGTTTTCTGTGAAAGATTGCAAGATAATAAAAGAGGGACAAACTGATTGGAATAATATTAGCTATTTACTTTCTGTAGAGGACACAAAAATAGCCCAGAGCACATTAAGCACATGAGAATGGGGAAAGATTTGGAGCAGTGCCTGATAACGTAGGTAGAGTGATTTGCCAATCAACTCCCCCCCCCAGTGCACAAATAACTCTTTATATCGATTTTCCCCGAACATCATTTTATCTCTTGTGGATTAAAAGATACCTGTACTATGTAGATTGTAGAAGAATGTGGAAACCAAATATGAGTCCATTACTTACCTTAGTTTGGCTGCCAGTCTCTCATAGGGAGGAAAAAGAATTCTAACGCCTATTGCTCGCCCCACCACTCAACATATTTGACAATTTCACTAAAAGTAAATGTAGTTGAAGCTTTCAACATCACTCTCAATGGATCTTGAATGTTTCTGCTATATGTAGGTACAGTATATGTATCTTCCGGTAACACATACGCATTCGTTCGTAATCTTAAATACCTGTACAGTACTGTATATGGTGTATACAATATATCATCAACATGACATTTTGTGAGGTTTCTGAAATGGAAGGTAGAGAAAACGTACATCTTAGTGGGGGGACTCAAGAAACTGACGACTGAAAACGCCCCGTACTTGACCCTGTACGATATAAAAAAATTTCGCGTGCTGCATTCAAAACACTGAATTCGAGAATGTATGTTGCACTCCTTCGCTTATCATTCGAGAATGTATGTCGCAGTTATCGGGTTACAACATAAAATTCGGTTTTGTTATTAATTTAAGTAAATTAATTCTGCATCGTTACATACTGTGTACTGCACCTGTACAGTAACTATTGCATAGCTACACTTCATGTCTTAATTTATGCTTAGTGAAGTGATCAAATTTATTTTAAAAGAAAAATTATCCACATATTTCACAGACAAATATATTAATATGTAATACTGTGTCTGTATACAGTATACTATATGCAAACTGTAAAATTTAAAATAAAATTGTAAAAACTTTTTGCTTAGTGTTTCAGGTAGTTTTCCAACAATACACAAACATTATGTCGCCATTTGTATTGAAATGATGTTTTCTCTTACAGGTACTGGAGAGTCTGGCAAGTCAACATTCATCAAACAGATGCGTATTATCCATGGTGCTGGTTACAGTGATGAAGACAAGCGAGGTTTTATCAAGCTGGTCTTCCAGAATATTTTTATGGCCATGCAGTCTATGATCAGGGCCATGGATCTCCTACAAATATCGTATGGGGATTCAGCTAACATTGTAAGTGTTCGTACTGGTTGGGATTGTTAATTCAAATGCAAAGTATAATACCTGTATTGTATAAATGTGTGTGTGGACACACAAAACACATACAAATAAATAATAATGGGAAAATACTCTCACAAATATATTAAAAATGTGACACTCTACCCTCAGGTCCGTGTTTTAATAAATAAAGCACGGTCTTGAGGGTAGACTTACATTTTTAATAAAAATAATTCTGATTATTTGTGAGAGTATTTTCCCATTATTATTTATATGTATGTGTTTTTTGTATGTGTGTGTGTCTACATAATACAGGTAAAGGAAATTGCTGTCTCTAGAACGAATGGCTCCCTGTCCCAGCCGCGAAAATGACGGCAACTTTAAAACTACCCACAGACATTCTTGGGTTATCCAGGGTGTCATCCGCGAATAATAGAGGAACCCGAAATAAAAAATCCGCTAATTTGGGGGGCCCCCTGTACATGTTTAATTATATTAGGCTTTTTTTGTTTTAAATGGTCAATTTTGTTTGTTTCAGAGAGTGATGTGTACTGCACCCAGAATGCTCTGTTAAATAGAGTATTCTGGGTACAGTACAGGCCCCTAGATAAAAAATGCCCTATTTCCAAAAAGTTAGGTTTGAGATATTCAACTTTAAAGATTGGTTTTCCTATCTCAATAACTAAGAAATATAAAAACAGGAGATTACACTGAATAATACTTCTTGCCTTCATCTACCGACTGTTGAGGGATGTGGAGGTAGGCCAGGGGAACACATTAGTGCCCGTAGCTCAATACTGTATTGTCTAAACTGGTGGGTATTACAAAATTTTATTTTGTAATATTGATGTACTGAATTCAAGAGGTTATACATATAATAACAGATATTACTGGTCTTTTACAGAAAGTCTTGCAATGATCATTAACTTCAGCATTACTGTGAATATTGATGTGCAGCTGTTTGAGTAACTTTCTTTTTGCATAGAATAATTCAGTACAGTAGTTAGTAAGAAAAGTGAATATGAAGTATAAGCTTGTGAGACACTCTTGTTAGCTCATCACAGAAATTCGTCAGCACTGTTGCCCAGGAAGAGGCAATAGTACAGCACTTGAGCTTTTTACAATGAAACTATTCATGTCCAATATAGAGTTTATAGATGTACACTAATGTAGGTCACATAGTCTCCTTTGGTTGGTGTAAAATGTTCAATTTGGTTTTACTTTTTGCAGTCCTTCACATTACAATAAACAGAGAATAATGGCATATTAACAAGATTCTATAAAGGCTGTTATGGAAACTGAGCAATCAAGATGGCAAATGTCTTAAGTTACTTTACTTTAACGTTTACATTTATTTTAATATTAAATTTAAAGTAATTTCTTTACCTGTGTGTGTCTAGGGGCTTTTTGGTTGAAATTATTTAGTTATAATACCTTGTAACTCGTGTCCAATTACGTAACAAGTGACAATCTGTTTGTCTTGTAAGCTTTACGAGTGAGTTTTTACTGTAGGTTTATCACATAGCATTACTGGGCTTAGTTGAGATAGTCAATTCCACTCTCATAGTTGACATGCCATTACCCAACACAGTAATGTATAAGAAATAGGACATGAAAAATATGCAAGTGATTTTTAAATATAATATACTTCTCCTAAATAAACACAGAAACAATATATACAAGGGTGAAAAGATGTACGCAGCTGTACTAATACATGTGAACTAGATGGCCAGTAGATTCCTCGTGTACAGGTTAGTGCTGGAACAGTGGATCACTCCACTGGTCATATAATTAGGGGTGAGGGGATAATAACAGAAATATTGATGGGCAAAGTTAGGGGTAGGAGGGCCAGGGGAAGGCAGAGGCAACTGGGTCCCCCAGAAAGATACAAAACTTAGGAGGATTGGTAAAAACAGCCCAAGAACGTTAAGAGTGGAGGACTGTGGTTGCCGACCCTCAGACATGAGGACGGTACAGTAATCTGTTGGAGTGAACCTGTTCTATACTCAACCATTTTGGGTGGGTTTGATGATTACAGTGCATAAATCAAGGTTAATTCACATGTTCAGATGTGTCATCTTTTTCATTTATTACAGTGCCACTGCTATTACTTGGAAAAACATTAAATATTTCAACTTTTCATGTCCATGACAGGAACATGCAGATTTGGTACGGTCAGTGGACTATGAGAGTGTAACTACATTTGAGGAACCATATGTCACTGCCATGAAGTCCTTATGGCAAGACACAGGCATCCAGCATTGCTACGACCGGCGCAGAGAGTACCAGCTCACAGATTCTGCAAAATAGTATGTTTATTGTAGTTGCTTGTCTTTATTATTAATTTGCTGCCCTTCTGTTATTTTGTATGAATATTGAAGAATTTCAGTATAATTGGTTTATAGATTAGGTTCAGTGATTTTTCTGAAAGGTGTGTGCCTGTGGATACAGTTAAAACTTAGTCATGTTTGTTTTGGCACTGTCATTTTGCCATTATGCCCTTTGTTGAAAATCTTAATAATATCTGAACTCGATGAAATTGGTAATTATTTTATAATATATCATATTTTTTCTCAAAATTATTATTAATGCTACTTATGATTATTGTCATCATCATCATCATCATTTTAGGTGCAGTAAAGTGGAAGCTAGAATTTCTGAGGTAGTTTCAGGAGATTATGTTTTCTGGAAATTTTGTGGAATAAGTCCAGTGCATAAACTTATGCTTTTAGATTTACTCACATTTATTATAACACTAGCCTCCCTATAGTCTGGTACAGTTCTTATTATAACACTAGCCTCCCAATAGTCTGGTACAGTTCTTATTATAACACTAGCATCCCTATAGTCTCTTACAGTTCATTTCAAAGGCATTATGGACTGCTGGGTTCCCCCTACAACCTGGTATGCATCATTGTTACACCCTCATAGGTTAATATCTCACAGTTGACAGCACTGCTGTATATTTTTTTCAGATCACTTAGACCAAGTTAAGAAGGTTTGCAAGATCTCTGGTCTCTTGTTACCCAGCTCATCATTTCTGACATGTATCAGAGAGGCTTGTAAATGTACAAAAGCGTTGTAAAATACAAAGCGAATGTGTTAGGTTATTTTATGTTTCATGGCACAGTGCTGGACTATTGGAGTAGATTGCTGGACAACAGGGAGCATAGGCAAATTTGAAAAGTACTGTACTATAATACAGGGTTGCTGGTGTACCGATATGTTACACTGCTGGGAGTCTAATGTGCAGTAAAACTTCAAAAATGAAGATGTCCATTATCCAGAAGTCTCAGAAAAATTACTCCTTTGAAAATTTATCATAGCACTGTAATTAAATTCCCCCTTGCTATGTCACAGCTCCTCGGCCAATCAGCGCACCCAGATGCTGTCTCCTTAGTTTTGGCGCGTATTGACACCAAGAACATACAGACTGTGAGGAGGTAGAAGTGGACAGTGACGAGACATATATTGACCTTGATACTGATGAAAGTGAGCCCATAACTCAGTCTTATAATGAAACTGAACTGTTGCCAGCATCAATATAATCAATGATTTAGTTGATGAAGAATTTGTGTGGCGATTTTTAGAGAGGGCAGAGAAAGACTTTGATCAGTACGTGATTGATTGTGACGAAGCCATTAAATTTATACACAATCCTCAGGATTTACTTAACTTCAAGTTGCTACGATCGTCAGGGATAATAAAACGAAGGAACTAAACAAAGTAAGATTGTAATACTCTTGTCATAATACTGTTTTTACCAAAGATTATGCAAACTTTCTCCATCTTTATAATTGTATGTTAATTAAGTTGGGGGGGGGGGTATTTTTTTTACGGGAATTAGCCCATTCGGGCACAGGTCGAACGACTCACAACGGGGCCTAAGGGGTGAAAAAATAAGAATGAAAAGAAATTAAAAATAGAACAGAAAAGGGTTATAATAATCAACACCACGAAGATGCCGGAAAACCAGCTTTTTAAAGTACGACAGATTGTATGAGTGTGGAAACACAGAAGGCGGCAGAGCATTCCACAGTTTGGCTGTGTGAGGAAAGAAGGGTGTACTATAACGGGTTATTATAGTGTGATCGACGAGAGCTGGAGTGTTGAGAGGCACATTTTTTTAAAGACATGGAGTGAACACTTCATTTGCAGTAGAACGTTAATTTAAAGCCACTCAATTTAAGATTATTGATTTAAAGCGACCCCCACAATTAAGGACAATGTTTTAATTTAAAGCAAATCTTTCCTATTTTGTGCGAGTCAATTTCGCGCCAAATGTTTCCCACCAGACGCGTCTCTGGGCACCCTACACGGCTGCTCGCCACCCTCACTGACACTCAAGTGAATGTACATGTTGTGTGACACTATCTCCTTCAACCACTGCCACTATGTCCAAGAGGCCAGTTACTACATCATTAACTACCCCAAAGGCCAAGAAATCAAGGCAAGCAAATACATTGGGGCAGAAAAACAAGGTGCCGGAAGCACTGCAGCGCGGAAATGGTGTTTCACGTGTATCAGATGCGTCCACAGCCACAACGCTAGACAGTGATGTGGATGGTGAGCTGGTCGAGTTGGGCTCTGCATCTTCAGAGGATGAATTGCCAAACTAAAGATGAGTGAAAATCTATTTTTGATAGCATAAAGTAATTAAAAGATAAATTGAGAGGAAAGTGACTGCTCGGTGAGTCAGGCGGGTGGTGAGTGGCACCGGCGTGACCACCCTCTCACATCAGCTGATCGCTAGTAAACAGACCATTTCATGCCCCATAATTTTAGCTGTGTTGATTTATGAGTGTTTGTTTTAACATTATACTACAAAAAACAATGTTTTGTTTGTTCTAGGAGATGGACTGAGGTGCATCTGGGTAGGCCCTCGGTCTTTTTAGTATTTTGTGTTTCTCTTAAGTACCAAACTAAATTATTCCATTGAAACAACACTTCTATTTAGTGCGAATTAGGTTTCAAGCGACCTCTCTTGGAACGTATCTCGTGTTATATCGACGTTCTACTGTATTAGTACAGTATTCATGTTTTGTTCAACTGCAGTGGAACAGTACATCCAAAGGGTTAATCTACATCGGAGGCTACCGTACCCTTTTATTCTTGTGAGTTGCTCACTGGGGCTAATCATATATGAAGTTTCATCTAGGGTTGTCCTATTAATCCTAAGGAAAATTTAGTACAGTACTTTTAATCTTTCATTTATATATTGTAATGGGTTCATTATTTGGTATACAAATAATTTATACAGGTGTGTTGTTGTTAAGTGGCAAAATTAACAATAAAGGTAAAGTTCATTCAAGGCTTAAAGGCTGGCAGGTAAGGGAATTGTGCTTTATCAGTTTTCTGTGTTTTTCAATCTAGCACCATACTTTTCTTCATATTTTTTTACCAGTTCATTGTTCATATTTATACCTGTTGACTCACTGTCCATACTTTTGAGTGAGCCAGCCTGGACTAGTATGAGGTCTAGTGTAATTGAGTGTCCACCTGTTTTATAGTAAGTGATGTTCAGTGCTATTGAACTCTTTTGGCTTAATGTAACTTTCGGTAGAGTGAAGATCACTTGGTAAGAATGCATTATAATTGTTATACTGGCAAACTTGCTCTTGAAGTGAAAGGAAACCTCATCGAGTTCATTATCCTTTAGTGGAAATTTCCCGTCTATTTATTATCGATTGTCAATGTCTCCTTAGTTCTGTATTGTTTGCTTGGAATGGATCAGTACATAAAGATTTGATGATCATTTCAGGCAATGCTCATGCACAAGCCAAATTGCACCTTTGGTAGATATGATTTCTTCCAGGAATAGGGATCTTATTCCCAAAACCAACCAACTATTTGTTACTGTGTATGAAATGCAAAGATATGGGATACTCTCTTAAAGTCATATCCCCAAAGCCTGTTAGGAATTTCTTCTCTCTCCAAATTTGCCTACAGAAGAGATTGACTTTTTTGGTGTGAATGTTTAATGTTCTGTTGCTTTGTATTTATTATTAATTTGTTTATCTTTTACAATAATTTTTATTTTGTGCCTAGTGGATTTCATTCTCTAAAAGTTACCCTTATTCATATATTCTAATGTCAATCAAAATTGTCTCACTCTGGATGTATTTCTGAACAATCAAGGTATTTAGTTTTCTTCCCATGACTGACTCCAGTAATCTGCAATTTGTTTGACAACCAGTTCTGAAGTATTTAGGCCCTGTCTTCCTATTATGCTTAGTAACTTATTTCTTGTAGTTTGTATTGCTTTTTGTATCCTTGAACACTTTCAATACTGTAGTAGCTAAATTATCTTTGTATCCCAACAGCTATTTAACAGATTTAGACCGCATAGCTGCCAAGGACTATGTTTCCACACTACAAGATATTCTAAGAGTGAGAGCACCCACAACAGGCATTATAGAGTATCCCTTTGACCTAGAAGAAATCAGATTTAGGTATGTTCTGCTGGCGGGTGTTGTGTGTATGCCTGGGTTGGTAGGTAGAGTGCTGACTGATGAGTTGATGCCTTGTTGATCCCTGTTCTGTTTACTTTGGGAGTTCTACCCTTAGTAATGTTAATTCATTTTCTATTTTGGAATTGGCAAACCATTTCAAAATGACCAAGATAACTTACATAGGCATCAGCAAGGTGGTGGTATTCATGTCTCACCGATGCTGCTCATCATCGCCATCCATCACTCTACACTGTCAAAGGAACACCGACAAAGAAACCTGTTTTTCTCTTGCAGTTATCTTGATGATTTGGAGCGTATCATTGCATCGGACTTCTTACCGACCGAGCAGGATATTCTTAGGGCTCGAGTACCAACCACTGGGATCATTGAGTACCCCTTTGATCTGGACTCAATCATCTTTAGGTATCAGACAATCTTGAATTCATAGGCCCTCCCCTGTCGGCCAGAGCAGAGTAGCTAGACCCCAGTGCCATAGAATTTTATTCCAGTGCCGTTGCCATGACCCAACATTGTGGAGGTAGAGTCCCTTTTATCCCATGTCAGCATTGCCATTGTTTTCAGATTGTTGTTTATCAGAATTTAAATTGCAACACTGCCCATGTCTCCCACAACAGCAGTACCACCCATTGTTTCCTGTAAGAATTAAAATTGCTGACTTTAATTTCATATAATTGTTGCAGTCACAGTTACCACCCATATTTCTCCCATATTTGTTACAGTTACAATTGTACCTCTTAGTAGACCACAGATTCTCTTCTAGAATCTGCTGTTGCTTACCAAAGTTTTGGTTCACACTTTTGATTCCCTATCCACCATTGGAATCATTATTGCGTAGAATGAAAGCAAGCTTTCAGTGATATATTTCTCGTCTTTTAATTTCAAGTTGAAGTGAATATAAGATAAAATAATTATAATATAGTGACAGTGCCACTTCGTAATGTAACTGCACTATAAGGCATGGAATGAGGGACCTGTTAACTGTGTTTAGATAACACAATTTATTTTTTTTTTTTTGGGGGGTTCTACGTCTTGTTTTGCCGTATGCATTATTTTAAACGTTAACAGAGTAAAAAAATAGATGTACATTGAGTAATCAGGCACCAACAATATATCACTGAAATGCAGCTAAAATATTCTACCCACGAATGTATGACCGCCGGCCGTCACAGTTTGTCTCTCCGAGAAGGGCAGGAAGCCGATGAAAACCTGTAGTCATTGTGCAACTGTTGCAGTACACTCTACATGTTTCCTCACCCTTCATACTTTTCATGTTTGTTTATTTGTTTTACCATTATTGGATCTAACCTATGTAATTGTATGCATTATCTTGTAGTCACAGTCATTTCATGCTTATCCTTCTTTATCATAGAAATGTAATGAAAATAAGCAGTTAGCATGTATATTTATGGTTCATATAGTGAAATGAACCTGACTATGTATAATAAGTCCACTAAGATTATAAGTGCATCAGATCTGCTACTTCATTATTGTTATTGATAAAAAAAAAGTAAACTATTTAATGGTGAAATTAAATCTTAGGTTTAGTATATATTTTGAATGGAAATTGTCTTGTGTTGATGTTATTCAAAGTAAAAACATCAATTTGAGGATAAAGTGAATTATGAGTTATGCTGCACTACCACCAAGTGACAAGTCTTTATTATGGTTATTCCCAGATAGTTAGCCTGTGAGAGAGAGGATGAAAAAAGAAAGAAAAATGCTCACTATGTTTGCTGTGTAGGGTAGCAGTCCCAAGTATTGAGTTATATATGTTCAGGAACTTGACAGTTCAGCCTTGTACAGCCATAGGCAATAACGCATCATAAACCCTGCCCTGGCCCTGGGATCAAGCTCTTTTTGCAAGGCTTGCGAGTCCATTGCCTTACCAACTCTGGTGTACCATGGTATTCTTTCCATGGTTAATTGAGGTGAAACAGTTGGTGTCTCTGTTATGTAACGTTCAAATGGCATAGATGGAAATCTTTTTTTATATATAATATTTTAAGAATGCTTTTAATAAATCTTCATCTACAAGTTAGGGGTGTCAAACATATAACTCAGGCACTGCATGCAGCCTACTGAACAGTTCTGTCTTACCAGCAGAGTACTAATGGCTCAAGGAGAGTCTTAATTTAACCTAACTTCAAATAATATTACTTTGTGTAAAAAAAAAAGAAAAAATCATGAAATTATTTATAATTATGATAGTTGTATTATTTGTGATGTTCTTCTTGTTGTTCTTCATTATTGCTGACATCTAGCATTCAACAGTATTGCTATGTAATGTTTGTATATTTTGATGATTTTTGGTACTTATGGTACGACGTGAATGACGCATGATTCAGTTTGCTCGGGTCTTTTCATATGAAGTGAGTTTGATACCCCTGTCCTTGTATTCATGGTAAAAAGTAAAAACTTGATTGTTGGCAGAAATATAAAGTTGATCATAATGCTTTCATCATCAAGTATCCTGAACCGTCATTTAAAAACTAGTTAAAATTCATGTTATTTAGCTGTCACATAGGCAAGGCACAGTACAGTACAGGCATCTGACTTACACGGAGAAATGAAAATGTAGATAAGATTAAGTGATGTCTGAACAAGGAAACTCAAGAGGGAAATAAACAGCCAACATTAAGGGGAATATAATTGAGTATAGAAGTGGATAGTTAAGAGAGAATATTTGACAGGCCACTGATTGGGGCAAGAGGATGCTAAGCCAGTGACTGAGAAGGAATATTTCTTTTCTCTCTCCCTCGATAGTACTCATATGAGAGTCCAGTGTCACCCAAACCACAACCTTCATTCAGGAGGAGGATGGCATAAAAAGAACTTCTTCCCTAAACTCTTGCTTAATAATATTAATGCTAAAGTACAGATGATGGTTTACCAATTATAGTACAGTATTGTACTATCATGCAGCTGTATCGAGAAATGAAGGCTAAAGCTGGAAAGGATGTTAATTCACACACCCACCCACCACACCACCCCACACCACCCACCACACCACCCACCACACCCACCACACCACACCACCCCACCACCCCACCCACCACCACCCACCACCCCACCCACCACACCACCACCACCACACCACCCCCCACACCACCCCACACCACCCCCACACCACCACACACCACCCCACACCACCACCACACCACCCACCACACCACCCCCACACCACCCACCACACCACCCACCACACCACCCCACACCACCCCACACCACCCACCACACCACCCACCACACCACCCACCACCACACCACCCACCACACCACCCACCACACCACCACCACACCACCACACACACCACCCCCCACACCACCCCCCAACACCACCACCAACACCACCACCAACACCCCCTCAACATCACACACACACATCCCAAACATGGGAATTAACACAGCACCAGAGTGAGGGTGATGACTGCTGTAGTAATGTGTTCAGTGGTTTGTTTTTATACTATTATATTGAGTGCAGGACTTATTGTGTGACAAATTTGTGTGGTGGCAGTTAACTGATGCACAAGTGTATGATTGCATGGTGGTGGGTTAACGATCAGCTGTTGAGGAATGCTTGGCAACATTATTTTCTACTCCATCCCACACCTTTCTGCTTTCTCACTGCATATTTTAAGATATTAGGTAACGTCATGTTGAAGGGATACAACTTTGCTCATTTGTACTTACACTCAATTTTGTGGGTAGATATCAGCTGTTCAATAGTATCTGGCAGTGCTGCAGGTGCAGTGTTACTAAAGAAACTGATAGATGCCTCACCTCTTCACCACTTGCCACAATCTCCCTCATCACCATCACTACCACCACTACCTCTATTATCAACCACCTAAATCATAATTTCAGTGATGCAGAGATGGATTAGCTTCATAGCAGAGCCATATGATATCCACTGCCTCGCTACCTCCCTCCCTCCCTCCCTCCCTCCCTCCCTCCCTCTGTGTCTGAAACTACTATTAATCAAACGACTGTCATTAATGACACAATATTGTTTATTTGTTATTCATTAATTAGTAGATACATTACTGTAATAATCTGTGTTTATTAATACCTGTACCCTTCATATACGTCATCAGGAACCAATGGTATGATGACATCTTGTTAAAAACTAATTTATTTTTTTTATAAAATGCACTACTTTATTATTAAAATATATTCTGTACCCTGTATTGCCTTTAATGGGGGTACTGTACAGTCATCTAATCAGTTTTGAGTACCGGGTATGAGAGCTAATAGATACGAGATGACACTTGATGGATAAACATGCTGGAGGTGGGGGGCCATTGTCACTATCGCAAGTTTTTGTATTGATTCATTATTATACAGTATTCTCGTTTGATCAGCCTGTTATGGTGTATGTTTCATCATACAGTACTGTATTAAATAATAGAACAATTTTCAATATAAAATGACTTCAATTAAAATGGCAGTCTGAATCAGAGAGTAATTTCTTTCCTGTCGGTGTGGGTGGGAGTGGGACAGCCACTCCTCGACTTACGACCACCCGGACATACGACCGCCCCAGTCGTACCAAAATTTTTTCAAATTACGTATTTGAGTCCCGACGTTAGTGATTGCTCTGTGTACTGACAAAATTTTCGTTTGTAATTCACTTTAAAATGGCTGGCAAGCTTAAAAGTGAGAGTTTTGTGGTGCTGAGAAGAAAAAGAGACACCCATTTTAGATTTTCTATGTATTATCTTCGCATTTTCTACTTACGACCTGGATTTGGGTTCCTAACCCCGTCGTAAGTCGAAGAGTGGCTGTATTTATTGCCACATTCAAGTTCGGTTTTACTTCATTATTGTGTATTCTCGTATGATCAGCCTCTTTCGGTATATTTTTTATCGTTAATAATATAAAATATTAAATAATATAAAAAAATATGCCAGGTGTGTGTGTGTGTCTTTTAATAAACCGTTTATTATTATTATTTACGCTGCACCTCACACCACCCACACCCACCACCCCCCTCCCACTCCCCCGCACACCAACTACCATGGACATAAATATTTATATTTGTGTGTTTGACCTTAAGGTAATCAATTAATTTATTTTATTGTTTTATTTATTTTTTTGCTCTTTTGCATAACTATTGTGTGTACATGTAACAGAGCAAAAGAAAATTAATAACAATATGTATATCTGCTCAAAACCACAAGTTGAAAAATGATGACTGCGTAACTCAAAGGTTGGCTCGGTAGTGAAGAAGCTGGCCTCATGAAAGCTGTGGCTAGTCCGCCCAGTTTGAAGTATTACCATTGGGTATCGCCATTTTTTTATTTGCAAATAAGCGAGGTATGCTTTGCGAATATCGAATAGGGGTGTTAATATATCAATGGTGGATAAGCCAATTTGCTTGTAGCAAATTGCAGCATTGGGTTATTTCATCTTTTGGCAGGATACTAATCCACCAATGTGTTTTCCATCTTGGGGAACTGCACCTGGTAGTGTACTCATTTACTGCTTAGTGCACAAGGATTGGTTTGAAGGGAAGAATCTAATTATCCACATAAATTGGGAATCAATCCTACAACCTCTCAATAGTGAAGCAAATCCTCTACCAAATCAAAATCTAGAAAGACAGTTGTAATTTTGGGCTTTTTGGAGAATATCCATCCCTTCCCAATGAAAAATAAATCCTTTTTATGAAATTGCATTTCGCGATATGCTTAAATATTAAATGTATTTAGTGAAGCAGCCAATCTGATGTTACTCCATAATCTGTTACTGTGGTTGGATAAGTGAGAAGTGACTGTATGTGACAAGTTTGGTGGATTCCTCCATGGTATGTATTATCTGGTGACAGGAGGATAACCTTGTACAAATTTATCCCAGTGACTATGTCCATGTGTCTGTGTTTTAGGTTAATTACTTGCTTTTACTACAGCAAATAATAGTTTCACTTCAAAGTTTTGTAAGCATATCACCTAAAGTTTGCACTTCTAAATGTTTAAATTACTGTTAAATTATATTGAAGTTGTTAGCCTCATCCTTTGTCAAAAGCTAACTTTTATTCGGTTATAGAAACTGTTTGTGCAGATGTGGATGCATGTGTTTTCCTGTTACCTTTACTAGTGTGCTCACCATTATTACTTTTTTCAGAATGGTAGATGTGGGTGGTCAGCGATCTGAGCGACGGAAGTGGATCCATTGCTTTGAGAATGTTACCTCCATCATCTTCCTTGTTGCTCTCTCTGAATATGATCAGATTCTGTTTGAATCTGATAATGAGGTACAGTACTTAATGAAGAATATTATGTACTGTATTGTGGAACTATATTTATATTTTGAGCAGTAGAAACCGGTTAAAAGAAAGTTTGTATAATTTGAGTAGTTAATGGGGCAGGAGGCTGTGTGACAGCTGCTGGCATATTTTGAAAAATTAAAATTAATTATGAAGGTGTACAGAGCATGGATTACAAATGTGTAAAGAGAAGTGAAGAAATTACAAAGTAAAGTAGGATTTAAAAAGGATTGATTTGAATTCACAAAGGTTAAATTTCTTGGCTACAGTCAGACATACTCACAGGAAGTAATTCAACTCACCAGTGAAACTGGCGCTCATAACTGTTTAGGAAATTGAATATAGACAGTTGTAAAAGGTATTGGACTTTGTTATTTAGTAAAAGTATTGTTACATTGGCAAAATGTTACTCAGGTAGAAGTAAAAGTATCCAAAGTTCAACATACTCAAGTAGAAGTAAAAAAAGTATCTCGTTCATAAAGGTACTCAAGGACTGGAAGTAAAAAGTAACAAAAAAATTATTGTTTCAAATATTAAAATAAATTCATTGATTTATAAAAACTAATTAACTAAACATAATAATAAAAGACACACAGTATTACACCTGTTTATTTGCAAATCTTTCTATTGAGATTAATCAATAACTGATTCTTGGAATTGTGGCCATCCAATCAGGATCTTTTAGGCCTAAATATAAGCCCAGCACAACCTACCGAAAGAGAACACGTTCAGCTGCTCTTCTCCCTACAATCCATCGCAGGGATAGTGAACGGGCTGAAAATGTATCCATTCAACACTATGATCACTTTCTTTCCACACAAGTATCGTCGACGTGGACTTATGGTCCACAGACATAATGTTGTCTCTGTTCGCATTGGGTTAGGATACAGACCCATCTGGCATGTATCTGAGGTGGGGGATGACCCTCACTTCTCTTCTTGTAAACTGTGTAACTGTCCCAACACTAACACCCCTCAACACTATTGCCTTGACTGTCCCACTGTCAGGGACCTCCTACCACAGGGAGTCACTAACCACTATATGTCACCATCTACTTATTCGTAATAATTTATATTTAATTCTTGTACGCTACCCATGCTTTGGTGGGTGCTAACTCACATTGTCCTTAAATCATATTACATGTTATAGTGTGTCCTGCAAGACATGAGTACCAATGTATTAGTGTGTGACCGCATGGTCTTGTGACTAGTCTTAAGAACATAAGAAAATAAGGAGTCCCCTAGGGTGTAATAAATTAATTAAATAATATATAATAAGCCCAGCATGACTAATCAGATGCTCATAAGCAGTGGATGGTGGTTGTGGGGTGTTAAGCTTGAGAGATAAGTTACATAATGTTAGGAAAGACCTCAGTAGCTGCATTTCATCCCCTGGGCATGCCAAGCAGCTGTCAAGCTCCTTCAGTTGAGGAGTTTGTGGATGAGTGTGGCTGTGTTCGCATATTTGTGCACGTAATACGACCAATTTCAGGTTTGTCTTAATTTTTGCACTTACAGAATTGTAATCAACTTGTTCACCCTTATTTAAAATATCTTTTGAGTAATAATATTAAAGTTTGAATCATATTTCAGTAATTATCAATATTGTTACACCAAAGTCATCAACGGCTAATGAAATCGGACAGCACCCACATTAAAAGGGCGAAGCCTAAGCAGGTTTGAACTTGGTGCAATACTTTTCAATTCTTTCACTCCATACGCTTTGTTTAGGTCCTATCCAATATACTACCGTACCTAGGAAAATATAGAATTATTTTTATTATTATATCACAGTTTTTTTATTTTTTATTGCCTTACATGCCTCCAACTCTTCAATATTAATCAAAATATTCTCCATAAGCGGCCATGATCTGCTTATGTTCACCGGGAGAAATCACTGATTGGTTGTTAACTATTTGTGCTGCTTGGGCTCTGCAAAAGGCTAACGCCTGATCGAGGTGCTGGCTTTTCCCTTGGAATGTGTCATGTGCACAAATCAAAAGCAGCGACTGCGCATACAGATTAGCTAACGCGTATGTTAGCTATTCCGTGCATCAAAAACGGTTACAATAAACGCCATAAGACTCATCGTGAACTGTCTCAAATTGGGGTGTGGTTGTGATGGCGTCACTTTTTTATTCTAATTGATGAGTGGCTGAATTTTTTGCACCACATAACATCTGGCAGGTGCTGGGGGTGGGGGGGGGTTAGTACTTAGTTATTTAGACAGAATTTTAAATACAATCGGTCTCACATATGTATAGATACATATCGCAACCTCTTTGAAATTCATTTTAGGTATAGGCATATGCAAAAAGCAACTGATGTCTAATGGGAAGAGCAAGACCCTGAAGGAAAGGTGGGGGAGGGAGGGATAAGAGGGTAGGCTAGGTGAGGTGGGTGGTCAAAGTACTAATGGACACAAGATGATCAAAGGAAAAGTCCACTGTCATGGCCACTACCACCTGACCTGGTCACCTCACGGGACCTCTAGATATGTGACCGTGTGGTGCCTACCCACACAACTCTTTAACTATTGGTACTATTGGAAGAAAAGTACCTGTATTAGAAAACTATACTTGAGTAAAGGTACTAAAAATTTGAGTACTTTTTAAAAAGTGAGTACTGTATCCAAAAATATTTCTTGAGTACAGTACTCAAGTAAATTTATTTAGTTACTTTACAACTCTGGGTAAGAGGAAGTTGATAGGCTCCAGATACAAATAATTTATTTAGAATTACTCTTCCTGTTATAGTTGTAATGTTGAGATATGCAGTGGCTATATTCCTAAAACATAATCCTGTTTTAATTTCAAGATGAACCTCTGTTCCCATTCTTCTGTAGTGGGAGCTGCCTTGCTAAGTATCTCCTTTTGAGGAGTCTGGTACAGTATTGTTGGCAGGGATATTTTAATAATTTGTTCTCCATATTTATGTTTTAATTATGAAAATGAGATCCTAGGCCCTGGGGTTGCAACTTATACTTGGGTTAGTTATTCTTTGCTCAGTTACAAAATGTGATTTTATGACTGATCCTTCATTTTGTTTATACCTCTGACATTTTTAAGCTAAATGTCCTACATTTGAATTACTTCTCAGTGTAGTATAAGTAAATGGAGCTGCTGTTGAGAAAAAAAATGGTGTTAGAAAAGGAAGTTAACTTGATCAGGGGTGGTCGTAATAATAGTTAAATTTAGATATACATTTTCTATAAATTTTGTAATGAAGCAAAACCAATGAAGTTTGCTTAACTCAACAGAACCGAATGGAGGAATCCAAGGCCCTCTTCAAGACTATCATCACCTACCCCTGGTTCCAGCACTCTTCTGTTATCCTTTTCCTTAATAAGAAGGATCTATTAGAAGAGAAGATCATGTACTCACATCTTGTGGACTATTTTCCAGAATATGATGGTAAGTTAAATTGCCAAGTGTAGGAGGGTTCTGTGTGATATAATTAAGTGGAGAACAGTGTTTCAGGAAAAGAATTTCCTACAATATTTGCAGGTATACCTGATATAGTGTATGATGGGAGTTATTGTTTAGAGAGTTGTAGCAAAATTGGAGTGCATACTAGAGGAAGCATAAATTGGGTTTAGAAAAGGAAGAAGCTATGTGTATCATGTTCTTGCATCAAAAGAACAGTGGTAAATTTTTCTGAAGAAATTTTAAGGCATTTTATGAAGTTAAGAAGAAAACAAATATAAAAAGTGATGTAGAAAATATTGTAAATTCATGGGGTACAGGCGAGATTTGAAGGATATTTCGTGTTGGGAAGAAGTAAACTGGTTCCCAGTGAAAGTAGAAGTACAGTCTGGCAATGTGATGTCACCACAGAGTTAAATGTTAATATATTTTTTTATGCATGGGGTAGTAAGCTTGGTGAAGGAAAAAAAATGTTAGTGTGAGGTACAAGTTTAGTAAATAATGAAATAATTCATTTGCTGTTTGGAAATGAATGTGTTTTAATAGTTGATATTAAGGTATAGTTGCTAGAGTTAGTACAGTATATCAAGAAAGAGGTGGAAGGGTGGAATGGAGTATTGTCCTAGAGGTGAGGGGGATGGACATGCAAGAAACAGCAATGTGTGTTATTGAGCTGAATATGCTACTGATGGGTGATGCTGACTTAGGCTATGTGATTTGACAAGGGTGTACCAGATATTTTAGCCTTGTTATGAAAGTGAGATAGCATTGCAAAGCACATTTTTTACAGCAGCATGAATGAATGTGTATTTGCATGAGCAAGGAAATCCTAACAATTGGTTTGTTATAATCCTCAGGAGAGAAACAGGATCATGTTGGGGCTCGTGAATTCGTTCTCAAGATGTATTTAGCCCAAAATCCAGATCCAGACAGAATGTGTTATTCTCATTTTACATGTGCCACAGGTCGGTCAGATCGTATGAATTGAAAGTAGCGGCCATATAGTATTACACATTTTGTAATAATTATGCTAACAGTTTTGATTTGCTTCTTTGTAAATTGTCTCTCATGTATTAGTTTCAGAGCTTTTCAAAGTAGAATGGGTTAGTAAAAGACACCTAATATATGTAGGTCATTAAATGTTGATAATCTTGTGTAAGTAAATACTTTAATGTACAAACATTGCATCTCAGTGCCAAGTAAAGATCTTCTCTGTTGCTTTGGTGGAAAATTTGAGTAAGTTCATTTACTCTCCAAAGAACACGCTGTACGTATACGTTAGATGTAATTATTGTAGGTATCATCTACCCACAATCTTGGCTGTATTTAGAACATTTAGTTGTGTAATTTTTAGTAGTCTGAAAGTGTCATGAGGAAGCAAATTAATTTTGAGGTTATGAAATAACATGCAATAGTAGACCCTGCAGAACATTGATAATGTATGTCAGCCCAGTTGGCAAGTACTGTAGGGAATACAGTATATTGTATATCAGTCCTTTAGGAAGTACTACTACAATTTTGAAATGTTTCAGTGTATAGTAACTATCTCATTTGGTTTATCGGCTCATTCTTTCAGAGAATCTACATCATTGCCTGGGATAACTAGTACAGGTACACACCATTTAAATTTACTCACAGCATACTCTTGTTTATATCTTGATGGGCCATATTTTATTGACAGCGTATTGTCTTCAAAGCATCTTGGGTATACTGTATATTTTATATATTCCTTATATTTACTGCCTCTGACCTCTCACCATACTTTTAATTGTAACCAAGAGTACAGTACAGTATTTCCCAGTTTACAGGAATATTTTGTTTAATATAATATATATTTTTACTGTGGCAGTGTAAAGAAGCTCGGTGAACAACGTCCACAAAAAGTAAAGATTGTACTGTACAGGGTACAGTATTGCAAATATTTTATGTACTTATATTTTTTGTTCCTCTATAGCTCCTCAATCTTTTTATTAAAATTATTATATTACTTATCACATTTAGATGAAACTGTGTACAGTTATCCCCTGTATTCACGAGGGTTACGTTTTTGGGAATCGCCGTGAATTGTGAATTGGCAATTACTGAATTTAATGTCTAATGGAAAATGGGGGTATGGTACCATGGCTACCAATACAGGTATTATAATTTTTGTCATAATACTTTGGTTTAAAAAGGATCAGTGTTTCAGAGATGGTGTTGATATATGTAAGGAGTGAATTTTTTTAATACAAATTATTAAATTTTAACAAAATAATTATTATCTCTACATATAATTTATGTAAATAAACACAATGAACTTATATTTCCCAGGTTATTATAGTTAACCCAAGTAAAACTTTATTCTCTAAAACAGAGCATAAGAGTAAAAATTGCAATACAGTAAGTTCTCACCTAACGTTGGGGTTATGTTCCTGAAAACGCGACGTTATATGAATCCACATTAAGCGGATCAATTTTCCCCATTAGAAATAGATAATATACGAGTTAAGTTCCCCAGCCTCCCTTTGCCCCATGAATTACATTACATATACAGAAAATCATTGCCATTTCTATAGAAAATAGTATATATATATAGAACTACATTACTAAGTTTGTATTGGTACTCACCGATGGGCGGAGGTGGTAGGGTGAGTGTGTGGTGGGTAGTGGAGCGAAGGAGGAGGAGGATGGGAGCTGCCTCCTCCTCCTTCTGTTATGACTGCTCCTCCTCCGCCGCTGTTTGCTCCTCCTCCGCCGCTGTTTGCTCCTCCTCGGCCGCTGTTTGCTCCTCCTCGGCTGCCAGCTGTTGTGAAGAAGCTGCTTCTGCCATCCCGCGACGAACAAATGAATCCAGTGTTGACTGCTTGGTGCTACTCTTCTTCTCCTTGTGGATCTCAGTGTAACAACCAAGACTGTCATCAATGCTGCGTTGAACCTTTGAGCTACTTTCTCTGTTTGGGTCGTCATCTATAAGGATTTGTATTGCTTGCTGGAACATGTTGAACGCTTCTGCCATCCCCTTGATAGCGTTTGTTGAGGTTCTTCTTCGTCGTCGTCGTCTTTACGGGACTGTGCTCTGTTAACAGTTGCACACCTTCGTTGGTGAGCTCTTCTGTATGGGATGCCGGGATGTCCTCAATATCCTTTGATTCCAGCTCATCAAAGCCTGCCTGTCTAGCCAAGCTGAGGATATCCCTATTCACAGCTGAGACTAAGTCCGTGAATCCCGTAAAACTGTTGACGCACTCGGGCCATTGTGTTGTGTTGGCGACAGCTTCTACACCTTAAACAGTCACGCCTAGGTGGCCCTTGGGCCGGCCTCAATTTTGAGGGGCTTCCATTATAAAATCTAAGCAATTAGCCTTTACGCCTTGGGCTAGGTTGCCGCCAGCCTTACCCCCCATGCTGGGGTAAAACGAGAAAAATCAACTTTTCCAAAAATAATTTTTAAGCTTTATAAATGATAAAACAATAAAAAATACATAAAAACTATACATTGTCCCTCTAGAAACTTCCGTGGCGCCTCAGTGACGAGACAAATAATGGGAAAGTTTTGATTTTTTACATCGAGCGCTCGCTGTCACTACATACTTAGGGGTCATTTTCCCCGCTTGCCTTTGTGTCCAAGTTGGCCAATAATTCATATATTTACTGATCATAATACTTATTTCCTATAAATAATTCATTTAGACTTTATTTTATTTACATTACTTTTCATAAGAAGTTCTCAGCGACACACACACAGTGTCGTCAGGCTTTATGTTTGGGAGAACACGTAGGTCATACAAATAATTATCGGAATAATAATTCCACAAATAAATACATTTATAACATAATCATAGCATTATCATCTTGTAATACTACACTAAAATAAAACTACACAACTTTTAGTAATATTACTTTGATACATGATAAAATGGACAAACAATGAAAATGAAACAAACAAAAGTAGGTAATTACGTTCAGGAAGCTTCCCTGTGGCCGAGGTGTGGCGTGACAGGCAATTGGTCACAAGGGAACCTGATAACCCGCGCCGGGCATTTAAACAATGGCAGGAAAAGGCGCACGTTCTAGAACGTCACCCGAGGCCTAAGGGTTAATCCCAAAAGAATATAACTTCCATCTACCCTTGATATATCTATGTTGTGCACATTTTCAAGCAAGAAAATAAAACAGACATATAAAGCAAGCAAAATAAACCTTAAATCAGCAATGAAAATCATGAATTGAGAAAGTTATTTGCATGTGTTGAGGACGGTAGAGATAGTTTCGGGTGGCAAGTTCAAGTCTACCACTCTGCTGGTCCATCACCACTCTTGTTATATCTTATCACATCAGATCAAGCTGTCCAGAACAAGAGGAACTATCACTGGGACATTTAGGCATGATTGATCTTTTTTGTGGGGAATAGCCCACCTGGGCACAGGTCATCGACCCACAACGGGGCTTGGGGGTGGAAAAAACAAGAATTAAAATAAATGACGAAAAAACACGAGGTCAAGAGACACAGTAAGTATAATCAAGAGCAAAGGTGGTGGGAATGAGTCAGCGCAGTGCGCAGAGCCCTCATGGCAAGAATTTGCACCACACCACAGCCCGCAAATTCAAAACCGCTGTTCTGCACCTCTCCCGATCAGCGATCTCCGGGGTATCAACAAAACTATCTGGGTATTTTCCCTGTATGTAATCATCGGAGCGGTTATATCCACCTGGGTTTGGCACAGTTTTGAAAGGGAGTGTAAAGGAATCTTTGTTATTGAATTAATCAGATAAATTTTTTTTATTTTTTTAGAGTAACAGGTAATCTGCTGGACTTACTTTTTATTATTTAGGATTGTTGGAAATGTTTTTCTGTTTAAGTCCAGGCTTCATTGTGATATTTTGAAGTACAGTAGCACTACATTATTTATCATTCAAATTGATCTTGACTGGCAGGATGTTCTACAGACAGAAAAAATTAATTACTTTCTCATACCTATGGAAATACAAACTTATATATACAAGTAGTTGTAGCAACATTAATTACTTTCAGGCCCACGGAAGGATGCCATTGCAGCCCGAGAGTTCATCCTACGGATGTTTGTAGAATTAAATCCTGACCCTGAGAAGATTATCTATTCCCATTTCACATGCGCGACAGGTAAAGAGTGTTATCCTCGATCATGGCATGATCCCTGGTCATTTCCCACTATATACAGTACAGTATATAACTGGGAATCTTGAGTACTGTACTTTTCTGTCTTCCTTTTTATTTTTATTTTGGCATGGAGTTCAACAAGTGCCAATCGTCTTCTCAAGTCTTAGTTTACATTTTTTCCTTGAGTAAAATAGGACTTGTGAAGAAAAGAATAAAGGGTGATTGTTTTGCTGGCCAGGTTACATGATTTGCAAAACAAATGCTCCTAACTTTCTTATCATAATATAGTACACTTTTAACTGTAATTAATCTCCATTATTCATGTTCCAGCTAATTTTTTTCTTTTCTTTTTTCTTTGCATGCTGCATGTGGTTTTCATCTTTTGCATGTTGGAAATTCCTGCATGTGTTCATGGTGTGGTCCCTTGTTTTGTACCTCTTGGTCCAATTTGATCAACATATTCATTAAATTTGTTCATGATCATAACATCAATGTTTCATATCAAACTGAACTGTGAAACTGAAAATACATTTTACATGAATTTTTCTTTCAATATGATTGAAATACCTTTTAAATTTTGTACATGATATTCATAAATTTTATTCAATTTTCATTAAAATTAACTGGATAACCTTTCTGAAAATTTCATCAATTTGTGTTCTGAAAAGACACCATTTGACTTTTTTTTGTGAAAACTAAAGACACTGAAAACATCAAGTTGGTGTTCTGTGCTGTGAAGGACACTATCATGCAGAATGCTCTTAAGGAATACAACCTGGCCTAATGTCTTCATTCTTTATGTTCCATCTGTTCATCTACCTTTTCAAGGTGAATGTTCCTCTGATGCAAGTTACTTACCATCCTCTCTGCTTTTCAACTTAGTGCATTTCCATTGTCAAGTTTAATAAAGGTGAGGAGGGGCCTCTGTATACAGTAGTGCCTTTAGATAGATTAGTGTAATTAAACTGGGATCACAAAGGTTTTTTATTTTATTTTTTTTTTAGAATTAGAGGTTGCAAAGTTAGAAATCAACAAGCAAGATGGTACCCTCATTTTATTTCCCTTATAATGTATGCTTGCTGAAGGAAGCTTCATTATTTCCATCTTGTTTGGCAGCATAAGGAAATGGTAACTGGTTAACCTGTGTGATGCTGAAATCAGCTTAGAATGCTTCAGCAGGTTCCAGAAGATAGAATTGGATAGTGGCTGAAATATGTGGAAATTATACCAATACATCGGGATGCCATCTGAAGAAATGGGAGTTCCTTGAATAAAAAAATTCACAATCCAGGCCCAGAGCACTTAAAGCAGTGATTTTTAACCTTTTTCCCTGTTCACACCCCTTCCAAACTGCCAAGCCGTTCTTGCACCCCTTCCCCAGAATTGATGAAAGAACATATTGTCATGGGAATTAATAACAGATCCATCTTGGTTTGTTATCTATATTGACAACTCAAAAATAAATAGTGAAAATGCAATGAATTACCAAGGTGCAAAATATACCCAATTGACAACTAAATAATACATTGTAAAAATTCAGATAACTGCAAATGTGCAAAAATTACTTTGTATTTGCTCGTACTTTGCATGGTATGTTGCGGATGAAGCCGATTGATTATGCTTGCGCACCAAACTCGGTGACTTTTTTGCTGTTGTTTGCCCTCCATGATGGCATCGATCCTTGGTGTTGGTGCCGAGAGCTATTCGCATGTCTTGTTGAGGATCCAACCAATTGTGTCATATTTAGCTGGTATCTGTACTCAAGCAATACACGTTATCTGTACATTAATACAAACACTGAGCAATATAAATACAATTTAGTACATGTAAAATTAGTAACATATGACAAACTCATAACATAAAACAGCAATTTAATGCTCAATTTTTTAAGCCATTCCCCTAAGATTAGCCACGTTTGATCACAGCATCCTCACACCCCTAAGAAACTGGTGTTGCACCCCCAGTTAAGAACCCCTGACTTAAAGAGTTAAAAGCAAGAGGTGAGAAGCATTGGTGCTGGCAATGGTCAGTGAGGGAGGAAAGTCAGTCTAGTGCACTCATAGATTTGTTTCCTAAACCAACAGTGCTAGGCTAACACAAACAGCATAGCTCTTTAGCTCTAATGGGTACTGACTACAGTTTTCACTGTCACATCAGTATTCAAGCTTAATATTAGTAGGTTAGATTTTATGGTCAAATTTCTTAGGGCTAGGGGGCATCTGGGTTTATAACATGGGTCTTAGGGTCAATAATTTTTTGAGCTGGCATGAATCTCAGCTTTTTAGACTGGGATTCTAGTGAAAAATGTGTCCTGTTTAGCAATAATTCACCCCATAAACACTTACTCAAGAACTTATGCCACACATTAAGTGGGACCTTACTGTATCCACTTTTGACATAAATAGCTAATACAAAGTTTTATGCCATGCTAGTAGGGCATTGTGATGTTTGAAAGACCATTATCATCATATCTAAAATTAATTTCTGTTGGACTTTGGGATATTGCACTTTTTTTTTAAACTTCTCTTATTTTTTAATCAAATATGTGATAATACTTACAGATGATCAGATTTAAGCTTGACTCTTGATCTGTTAAATAAGCAGCCTAGGTTTTATTAATGACCAGATCGTGTGACTTATGTAGTTTCACAAGTTCCACCAACACATTTAACTTTAGCCCATTGTTGGTATAATTTCTGCAGGTTCACTTCATTTTCTTACCTTCATCATTTTAACTTTTACAGCTCCTGGGATGTCCCTTTACCTACATCCATATTTTTATTTGGCATAGTTTGAATGTCCAGGTGGGACAAAGTAATTTGTATAGGGTATTTATGTACTAGACAACTCAACTCACATGTGATCTTTGTCTCAGTCTCGTGGTCCAGTTACCCACCAGCTATCATGATTGATGGATATCCTTCAATGCCTTGTGACCCACCTTGTTCCTCCACACCCAAGCTGAGGAGTTTGCTCAACATTAGTTTCTGGAAATTCTGGGGATGGGAGATATTTTTCCAGGTTTGAGAGATGATGTAATGGGCAATTTCTGGAACTTCTGAGAACATTATTATGTTCCCTGGAAAATTCCGGAATGTTGGATTTTTTCCGGCTTTGAGAGAGTCATCTCGTTACCTGGAAATCTCTCATTCGTGGAAGTTCTCTGCACCAGTTGTTCTGGCTAATGGAGGTATCACTGATCTGGACCATTCTTCTTAATACATTTTATAGTTTGAGTTTTGTTGTAATTTGGTAGTGCCGAGTTGCTTTCAGTAATCTTGTGAATAAAATATTTGAACCCCCCTCCATATGTGCATGTGTACATGCTTAAAAGTGTGCACACACACTAGCATGCACGCACCCGCTCACCCACACACACACACACACACACACACACCAATACCAAAATATGATATTTTGCACAAAAAAGTATGCTTTTCAAGGAGAAAAACATTAACTTTGCAATAAAGCCAACCTATCCTACACTAATTCATCTATATTCTGGCTTCATTCCTCCTTATTTACATTACAGAAACCTCAGTAATACTATAAAGCTAGGCAGTGACACGATAGTATTGGCCGTCTTGGCAAGATGATCAACTTTCCACTTATATCTAGACAATTAGGAATGAATGCTTTCATTGCCACTGCATACTTAGGCCTTCTGAGGGATCAGTTCAACCCCTTTAGTCTAAAGGACATTGCACCTTTCCAAATAGGGCATAAATTTCATTAGTAAATACACATTGCTTTTATGATACAGAACCAGAATGGCAACTAGGCTGAGGTAGAAACAGTATCAGGGCCTCTGTGCATTCAAATGCACAGATTGTGTAAGACAATTAGACACATTTACATACCTTTCAATATGGGTAAGAAAATTAAATTATAAGGCCACCATTATTGTCTGGAAAAAGGTTGAAATTAATGTCTTAAGATTTGTGAAATGTAAATGTGATAATTGCAATTTGTTGGGATCACTGTCTTTACAAAACCTAATGGAAGAATTATAGAATATTATCAGGAAATATCTGTCTGTTATAAATTGGATGCAGTACAGTACTAAGTATTTTTTTTATAAATTAGACCTTTGATTATTGTAACAAATTAAATATGATGTACTGTACTTAGATCAATATGTGATGTGAATAGGGTGCAGGGAATAAGAAAAATAATATTAAGAAATGGAAGTATCAGGCAGAGAGAAAAGCAGAGTCTGCTCAGCTGGTATGAACAAGTTAAAAGAATGGAGTGTAAAATATTACTAAGATAAATATATACTGTAATTTAGAGATGGATATTGGGTGGTAGAGGAAGAGATAGACAAAAGTGGAGAGGGAAGCAGCACTGTGCACGAATGAGCAGGGAGCATTTAGGAGGGAGATGCTAGGTTGTGTATAGCACTTGAGGGTTAACCTGATTTGGGGCCTTGTGTCGATGAATACCTTAACAGAGTACATTAGTTTCAGCATTATGAAGGAAAGGAAAATGTGTTCATGTTCCTCATAGTTTTGTACATCTAGCAGGAAAAAGTTGGCAAAGACAACTGTATTAATGCTCTGGTTTTTAATTTATATAGGATTTCTTTTAATTTCCCACTTGGTCACTTGTGTTAGATTGCAATTTTGTGGCCAAAAAGTATAAAATCACTTAATTTTAGTCATGTGAAGTGCTGCATGTTATAAAACCCTTGATTTTACTAACTTATCACAGTATGTGGACTTTTTGTTTGTTTGATTCATAGTCCTTGAGATGATTTACTTTAGTTTACATCCATGTGCATCTGCATGAAAGCTTGTTCAGTGGTTTTTATATTTTTGTGTAAATTTGTTGTTTGGAGCTTTAATGTCAGAAATATATAATCAGTATTGTTACTGCTATGATTAATATAATATGCATATATTTTATTTTTCTTGTGTTTTACAATATACTTACTCTTTTCCTTACAGACACTGAGAACATAAGGTTCGTCTTCGCTGCTGTCAAAGATACAATCCTGCAGCTAAATCTAAAGGAATACAACTTGGTGTAACGTTGAGCTATGCTCAGCTGGCTGAGAGTGTACACTAGGTGAAGTGACAGCATATTCCCTTTTCCTGTAAGGGGCTGTCGGCTGAGGTTATCACTTCATCACCCTTACATGGACACTATAACCAATTCTGTAAACAAGGCAGTCATATTTTGCATCTACAAACCCATTTTCAGTGTCCCAAGAAATAAAGGCTCTTTGCTTTTTTTATAATAATTGTTTTATTATAATTATTATTGTAAGTATTCAGATTATTATTTTTGTTATTATAATTATTATTAACTCTTCAAGATTGTGGGAGCCTTAACTTTACTTCCAAGCCAAGCTATCCTTTTTGGGACAGCTTTAGCTATTTGCAAATAGCCTAATTAGGTGATGTTCTGATGCCAAAGGGCCTTGAAACTTTCAAATATGTAGTTCCAATTTATGTAACGTACGCCATTTCCAGTCCTGAGTTGCGTACAGTGTCTGTTAACCCAAAGTCTTACACACCCAGAAGGGGCGGATGAATTAGTCCAATGCCGTGACTAGTTCTCTCTATGACTGTTACCGTGCTGCCAGAATGGCCGCCCCTACCCACGTCCTGTGCTCATTACCAACGCTGCCAACGAGCCTAGTGCTCACTGGTCGTAAAGGTGCTCCTTAAGCCCCAATTCACGCGTGTGGATATGTGTGTGTCGCTTAAGCCACACTCAGCTGCTGCTACATGTACGTAACTTGGAGCTGATGTTAGTGTGTATGCTGATGAACATCGTGGGCTGACACACTCCACACCTAACGAAGTACTGCTCCAGCCTATTTTTCTTGCCTTTGCGGGAAAGTTTGCTTGCCTTGCAGGTGATTGTTAGGATGTTTCGTGTTGGTGGCTTTTGTATATTACACATATATAAACATTACGTGGTCTAACGTTCATCTTTAGTGTGTGATATTCTGTAGTTGATCATGAGAGGAGCTATCCATTATGTATAGGCCTGCAAAGTTTCCTGGAGGTTAAGGAAGAAAGAAATGTTTGCTACCAAAACTTTATGCACCTCCTATGTTATGCATCTGGACCCAAAGAATGTAGAGCACTGAAACCAACAGAATGATGCAACAGCCTAATGCAGTGAGTCCTATGGCATCCAAAGTGTGAAAATTAAATGAGAAAGTTGACAGAACAACAGAAGATGCTGTTCCGAAGTAAGAATATTTGAGTGACATAAGGAAATAAGTACTACAGTGCTTAGCAGCCATTGACCTTCAGTTTACAAAAATCTGAGTAATTCTGATTTTGAGTACGAGTTGCTGTTGTACGTGTGGAACTATGTCTATCCCTGCATGGGCATAAGTGCTTGTGATATATTGGTGGTAGCAAATATGGCTTTTACATGTCTCATAAGGTAGCCTATTCTCTCCTATCTGGTGAAAGGCCTAACCAGGCACTGACAATACCCACCAAGTGACACAGAAGCTAATAGGTGAGGTGCTACAGACTATATAGGCTCTGAAGTATCTACTCTTGCCTCGAAAAGTGCAATTCAAAGTTAGCTGACTCGGAGCTGAGACTTAAGACTCTTGTGGCTTATGCGAAAGTGAGCCTAGACCGGTATTTTTGAGTATCACTAGCCATTTACTGATAATCATGCTTGTATGTGACGTGTGTTCAATGCAACCTGGGCACAAGGGTGTGCCTGCAAGCGTGTCCAGCACTGTCCTCATTGATAGTATGTTGATTAATGATAATGAGAGTGATGGTGATGATTGTTGAATGATGATGACTGTAGACGGAAGCACTAGTCAGTATGGGTGTGGGTGAACCCAATTGCCCACTGCTCATGTTACTTGTATATATGTGTCTGTAATAATAACTATTAGGTGTATGGGTGCGGAGAAGACTGGCAAGCCCTCGTGGATTGTCAGTAGAGAAGGTAGTGAATGAGCAGATGCAGAGAGTAAATGAACAGACCATGGACAAAGACGTTCCAAAAAGCTTGGCGCACCCTAGTAAAAGGGCTGTGTGGAAATTCTAGTCTCTTGTGCCATCAGGTGTTTCTTACTAGACAAGCCCAATCTGTTTTGGGCTGGTCTGAACCTGGCCATTGTGGCAGACAAACACAGATCAGCTGGTCAGGGAGAGAAAACCCATAGATGACAGCTGAGCAGAGCAGGCAAAGTAGTTCATGGTGAACTTTTGCCTGCAGCATAGACTTAGCTCAATCCCCAGCCATGTGAGGTACGCATGAGACGTACGCATGGACGTGTGCTTCTGCTTGCAGGTTCTGCCATGTTTGTTGGGCTGCTTGTATAATTAGTAGAGACTAGTATAATTACACACAGCCCTTGAAAAGAGCCTTTACCTTCCAATCGTTTGTACACTTGTTGTTATATTCTATTAACTTCAGGTTGCATTTTGTCTATTGTTTGTAGTATGTACAGAACCAGTAAGGTATTATTTTTATTCATTATCATTACTTTTATGGACTTGAAAGAATGTGTTGACAAGTAATTATCAATCATGTGTATTCAAAAGACTTGTACTAAGGTTTAAAGAAATTGAGAACCCCATATGTACCAAAGTATAACTTGACTTTATTTTTGAAGTGGCCGATATGTAGCACGCGGCAGCAGCGAGCGGGGGAGGCACCCACAATGCCACCTAACCTGCCACCCTGTCCTGGTTAATAGCTTTAGCCTTGCCTCCCGCCTTGCCCGCCCTGGGTCATCCCCTGGCCTTGGGGGGGCATGGCGATCTAGGCCCCAGGACAGCAGTGGCATGGGGGGGCCAAGGCCCCAGTCTCCCCCCTGAAGGACCCCGGCCCCTCCCTGGCTTGTTGTTAAAGGCAGGATGTAACCAGTACTAGCACACAATAGCTAAAGCTGGCAACATCTTGCTTTGCCTCCCTCCTGCTGCCTGACCATCACTCAGCGGTGACTGGTTGGGCACAGGCGTGTGGGCAGCAGGTGGCATAACCTTAAGGTCAACAAAACCGCTGCTGCCTACACCACCGCCCGTCTTCCGCGTTGCTTCACCCACACCAACTCGGCTCACTCTACTATCCATTAAGCTTCAGACCGAAAGAATAAGGAGGGATTTGTGTTTTAAGAATAAATATTTATTGAAACAATGGTGTGCTCTTTTTTTTTCCTCCCCCCCAAAGAAAAATTTCTGATTTTTATTTGTACACTTATTAATTTTTTTATATCTAAAGTGGAAAAATCTTATTAACCAGGTGTTAAAGAACCGGTGGAGATTCAGTAGTTATAGTTATTTGAATCCTGTATACCATGTTCAGTATTTTGTCATGTTTAATAATATTTCTTATTGGTTTGTTCCCTCTTGGAACTACAGTACATTTAAAGTATGGCCACCAAGAAAGGCCTTAGGCCATTATATTCAGTACACTTCTTTAATTTGCTCCTATCCTCTCTGGGACATTATTGATGAGCATTCTCCATCATCCCCACATGAACACTCCTCTCCATGACCCATTCTTTTTTGCACTTCACAATTTAAAATTTGTCTATTGATACCTTAGTTCATTTCAATAGCTAAGAGTTGTAGAAAAATCTTGTGTTCTATGTTTAAGTTTAATTCCTGTAGATAAGAGTTAGGTTGTATGAAAATTTTCTTAGCACAATTGTGTTTTCTCCTTTTATAATCCTCCCCAAAGATCCAGTTGCCTTTCTCCTTTGCAACACCATGTAAGAACAGTACTGATACCATAAACTTTAAATATCCCAACCTCCTGCAAGAAGCCACCACCCATCCTAATCTTATCTATTCTATAGACTTCAAGGATTACCATTCCTCTCTTTATTACAAAATGCAGAATCTTGCCCAAGCTTTACATTTTATTTTGAGCTCCATAACTTCATAACTCATGTTGTTAAAGTGAATAATATATGGTGTTACAATTTTCCCATCTAGACTGTCATGATAGTTATGGGTGAAGGAATGCCTTGCTCTGTGTTGCAGCTACAGTTGTATCTATAAATTAATAAGAAAACTGTTAATGACATATAATATAGCCATTGCAATATTTTATGACTGGGGGAATCCATCCATTTCCTGTGAACCTTTAAAGTAAATATATATCTATATGTGGCTTTGACCTATGATGAAGGGACAATGTATGTGACCACATGGTTTTGTGGGGTGTATACTGTATTTGTCTATATCAGTAAAACCTTGATAACTTGGCATGTATTGGGGCTCTAGCCTTGGCGAATTATCCCAAATTCCGACTTATCGAGGCACTTCACCCTCCATACAACATAAAAAATTATCGGCCCATATACGTGTACATGTAATTACTGTACTAATTTTTAAAAAGTAGCACTTACCAGCACTAGTCGAAGAATGAAGCATTGCAGTAGGTGGCGCAGAGGAATGGTAGGTGATGGAGGGGAAAGGCTACATAAACAGTAAACAGTGCAGCACTTATGTATACTACTGTAATTAAGTCACTTTTATAAAATAAGGAATACAATTTAACAAAAATAATTGTTTTCTCTAATAATTGTAGTCTGAGTATGTAAATAACATGTAACTTATATCACTAAGGATATTATACTCCGCCCTAGTTAAACCATTTTCTCTCTGACAGTGCAAGAGTAAAAATTAAAATACTCTAATGTGGCCTGGAAATAAATAAAATGTAATATAAAAATATAAAATAAATAAATGAAGAGCATAGGTGTGTGTGTGTGGGAAGTGAACATATGTGAAGGCAGTGAGCCTGTACTGCGTGATTGACTCGCTCGCTTCTCTCCCTCTCATGATGTCATGGCAGACTACTACTACTACTACTTTGCTGTCACTCGGAATTGAGTATGACAATCATCCAGCTATGATACAATGATGTGAGTTACTAAGGATGTCACCCCTCCCTCCCACCACCTACCACATCTCTCTCCCTCCATCCACATACCACCTCTCCCTCCCTCCCTCCACATACCACCTATCCCTCCCTCCACATACCATCTCTCCCTCCTTCCACATACCATCTCTTTCCTCCCTCCACATACCAGCTCTCCCTCTCTACCTCCAAATACCACCCCTCCCTCCCTCCACATACCACCTCTCCCTCCCTCCACAAATCAGCTCTTCCTCCCTCCCTCCCTCCACATACGAATTCTCCCTCCCTCCACATACCAACTCTCCCTCCCTCCACATACCACCCCTCCCTCCCCTCCACATACCACGTCTCCCTCCCCTCCACGTACCACCCCTCCCTCCCACGTGGAAGTAGATCATCGACTTTTTGGGAGATATTAACATGTTTTCCAAAGTAGATTATCATAGAAAACAGGAAATTTGTATCACAGAAAATGTGAAATATTTCTTTCTGGGAAAGTTGGTTATCTACTTATCATAGAAAACGGGAAATTTGTATCATAGAAAATGGGAAATATCTACTTTCCGGGAAAGTTGGTTATCTACTTTCCTGAAAAGTAGATTATCTACTTTTTGGGAAAGTAGATTTTCGACTTTTCATGGAAGTAGATTATCGACTTTTTGGGAGGTATTAACATATTTTCCAAAGTAGATTATTGTAGTGGACTTCTCCCCTACAACTGCGTAGCTGCATCCCACCTGCGACACCTTCCTTAGCAACCAAACGAGCGGCGTCACCAGATGCGCCGCCGTATCCTAGCAACCGAGCAAAAGACCGGTTACTTCTCGGGTTTTCCCAACATGACTCATAGAGGACTCGCGGCTTTTGGGTATATAAGCTCCATTGAGATTCATTCTGACCATTCTTCTTGAACAAGCAACACCTCCTCCTCCGCCGCTGCCTGGCGGCCCTCACTTCTCCTCGCCTGCCTGGCGGTCCTCGCTCCCGCCAGCGAGCATGGCGACCCACCAGCTTTCCTTCTCTGAGCTTCCTCACCAACCAGCTCTCATTCTGGTCTCTCTTCTTGAACAAGCAACACCTCCTCCAGCAAGCTCCACGCAGGGCCGGTGCAAGATGATTTGGCGCCCTAGGCAAGCCTTTAGATGTGCGCCCCCTTGAAAGTTTTGATAAGCTAATGTAGGTACAGTAACCCATTACTACATTGTTTTCATCTTGTGGCTTTATTACTTCACCCATGCAAATAACCAATTATTGTTATTACATTAAGTCAATAAATCCTTGACGTAAACTTCAGAGGTCAGGTAACCTTGCCTCATCCCGACAAAGACAGGGAAAGGGGCAGTAAGGGAGGGGAGGGGATGGTGGGGTTGGGAGAAGGGTTCCTCAGATGTCAGCCTTCAGGTCACTGCTCGACAGTTCTCCAGGCCACCAAAGATAAGGACCCGGGTTAGTCCCTCCGGTGGGTTAACGAATAATATTAAAAAAGAAAACACAGTCGGCTACCGTCTACCTACCCTCGCCTCCCTCCGACCCCCCACCCTTCTAACATCCTGCTCCGACCCTCCACGGCTCCACCACAGTTTTCCCTTCATTTTTAATTTTATCCAAGTTTGCCCTGAATTTGTGGCGCCCCCAGATGTTGGCGCCCTAGGCGATCGCCTAGTTCGCCTAGTGGGTAGCGCCGGCCCTGGCTCCACGCTGTCAGCATTCATTCAACCAGGAGGCCAGCAACAGGCAACATCTTCTCTAACGAAGCTCCTGCACATCTACCTCCTTCAACACGCTACTCACCGAACGTCTCTACTGAGCAGCTCCTCACCACACGGCACCTCCAGCACCAGACTGTAAATCATATACTTTATATTATACAAGGAAACCACCTTAGAGTTTCCATCCATCCTGAGTGCTAGACAACATTATACCACAAACTCCTACACCTTCTTCAGTGTTTATACCTTCACTGCTTACTCAGAATCACTGTCCTTATAGTTATACGTATCTAAAGTCATTGTCTTCACTAGCATATTGTTATGCCGAGGCATAATTCGTATTATAATTTTGTAAACTAGGTGTTTTGATTGTTTTCTGTCCCATGCAGCAATTATTTTGGCAAATTTCGTGAAATTTTCGTGTATACAGCGATGCATTAATTATGTAAGAATATTCTAGATTGTATTGCATTATTTTTATTCTGATTTCCTTATCATTGTAAGCCTCGATCAGAGTAGAACGTTCTAGAACCTCCCAGGCGTCTCTGGGTGATTCTAGAATGTTCAAGAAGCGGGCACGGGGTGTCTAGCAAAACAAAGATACAAAAAAAAACCATTAGATAAGATGAAGCCATCTGGTTGAGCCCAGAGTCATTCTACTCCGACTGTATTTCAGTTTCACCACTTTTCTTCAATTCCTAATAATCTTCTTTTACCTCTTAACTCACGACTCCAATGCCAAACAGGGAGTTAGTCGATCGCCTCTGTTCAGTGTGAAGACTAAGCCTAGCAGAACAACCGAAGAAAATTGTTGTGTAAGTACTGTGGAATTGTTGTGATTAATATAAAGTGAAAAGAATAAGGAGTTGTACACTAGTGATGTGAAGAATTAGGGTTTATTAAAGAAGACTACAGTGCACAAGTGTGTTTCTGTGACCTGGTGGAAATCTTCCTGCCTATTGTTTGTCTATACACTGATAGCGATCATCGGGGAATTACCGGAGACTGGCGGGACAACCAGTGGTAAATTGGCAACACCTTTCACTTTTATCCTCTTTACCACTGATCGGCTTGTTAGCTGCTTGGGCGATCGGTAACGTCTCTGCCATGCACTGTTGGCAAGTACTGGGCATTCACCGGCTCCTGGATGTACCTGAACCCGCTCCAGTGTTGGTCAAGTCTTGTCTTGAAAGAGCTCACACTCGGTGCCGTCACAACACTCTCTGGTAGATTGTTCCAAGAGTTCACAAGCTCTCACTCCGAAAAAGTTTGACCTCACGGTTTTCCGGACTTGCGGCTTCTTCAATCTTGAGCTGTGACCCCTTGTGGGGCGAGCGTCCGCCAGCTCCAAGTAAGGACACTCGACTGAGTAGTGCCCCCTGAGATGCTTATACACCTCAACTAGGTCCCCCCTTGCCCGTCTGTAGTATAAGCTAGGCAAGTTCAGGCGCTCCAATCTCTCAAGGTAGCTGAGGTGCCGAAGTGCAGACACCAGTCTGGTGGCCCTCCTTTGAACATTTCCATCCAACTGACAGTCCCTAGCATATCTCGGGGACGTGACAGTACTCCATAGAGGGAAGCACTTCACTCTCGAAGATCGTTACGAGGGACGGACCGTCTAGATATCTGAACGACCTTCTTGTAAGACCCAATAATATATTTGCCTGATTTACCTTCTTCTCGCACTGGCCCGAGAACTTCAGCTCATTGTCAAAATACACACCTAGGTCCTTCTCACATCCAGTCTCAAATAGTGCAGTTTCTTCATCCCGTTGGGACATATGATACGCCTCCTTACCGTTGGTACGCCCCAGGTGCATCCTCTTACATTTCGTGACATTGAATCTCAGCAGCCATTTCTTCGACCATTCTTGTAGCCCACAGAGGTCCTTCTGCAGCTCTCCACAGTCTGCTTGGTTCTTGATTTCCCGAAATAACTTGGCGTCATCGGCAAACATTTGTATTGAGGAGTGTACAACGTCAGGCATGTCATTTATGAAACAAACAAACAACAGCGGGCCCAATACACTGCACTGTGGTACCCCCTTGTGACAGGTACGGATGATGATTTCGTGCCATTAATCACCACACACTGCTTGCGGTCATGTAGAAAGTCTTTTATCTATGCTAGGACATTTCTCCGCATTCCGTACCCTTTCAGTTTGATTTTCAGCTTTTCGTGGGGTACACTGTCGAAAGCCTTGGCAAAATCTAGGTAAATATTGTCTATTACCAAACCCGTTCCAGAATATGGGTCCAAATATCCAATACCTTGAGCAATTGTGTAAAGCAGGAGCGCCCCGGCATAAAACCGTGTTGGCAACTTGGGACTTGGTCACAATTTTCGTGATGCCATATGGCAGCAGGGTCCACCATTAGACAACACATTAAGCTTCCAATATCTTTCCAGGCAGTAGTACCTCCCTGTTTGGTAGCTACCTACTACCTTATGTTGAGGGAAGGGTGCCCCCTCCCGCGGCTGATCAAATTTTTGCAGTACTAAAAAGTTTTGGTGACATCTGGAGCATGAGTAAGTATCTGAAAGTACTTAAAGATTATTTCTTCATGGTGAAAGCAAAGTTGTCAGTTTGGAAGAAATGCAGGAGTTTAATATGTTAAGTTATTCTTTTGCAAATTATTTCATTGATGAAGTGTGTGTGTGGGTGTGGGGGGGGCTCATGAGATATTGACCATTTGTATAACATTACTAATTATAATAGACACTGCGTCAACACGTCAAGACACAGTGGTGGTGTCGCCCTATATGTTGATATCAAGTATAATACTTCTGTAAGAGATTATTTAAAGGTTCAGGAGGAGTACATGGAGAGTGGTTTCACTGAATTACGTAACGACACACGAAATATCCTAGTAGGAGTAATCTACAGAAGACTCCACACTAGTGTAAGGAATTTTCTTGATAAATTTTCGTTGTTTATCTCTATCATAAGTTGAGAGAGAAAACTTTGCTACATTACAGGAGATTTCAACCTTGATCAATTAAAATCAGAAACCGACACCTCAGTATTAGACCTTCTTGCTACCAGTCATTCTAAGCTCTTCTTCAACACTATAACCAAACCCACTAGAGTAACTGCCACCTGTGATAGATCATATATGGACTAACAACACTCCTAACAACCTTACAAATGGAATTATTTACAACAAATCTCAGATCACTTCCCAGTTTGATGTGAACAAAAAAGTTACCATCATGTTTATTTGATTAACACTTTGGAGTATTTCATTAAATAATTAAAATAAATATAGCACAATTATGTTCGTCTCAACTAACTATTTCACCATTGGTTAGTTAATGTAATATTTATTCATAGTTACACCAGATGAAATAAAGAGAAGGAACCTGTCAGCTGTATTTTCCTGTTGCCTTATGACACTGGCTTAGGCTAAACCTTAAACAATATTCACAAAAAACTTCCATATAAGCTTAAAAAATATAATTAACAATAACATAATACAGTTTCAATGATTACCTTCCTATATTTGTGTATTAAACATATCTTGGTATTTAGTTAAAAAAATAATAGTTATGTCACCTGAACAGATCTAGCCCAGCTGTTAACACCACCAGAGAGGAGAGGAAGGAGCAGGAACATGAGCAAGTTGTCTTACCACGACGATCTTGAGTTTCCCTTCTGTGATGATGTTATTAAATACGAGAAGCTGGCAAAAATTGGCCAAGGTACTTTCGGGTATGTATATATTAATAGAGTCGATTATATAGAAATGAGTTCTAAATAAAAACCTTTTGGTAGTCCATGCGCATTACTAAGGTACTGATGAACACTAATACTGTGCAATATAATAGTCTTTTATTGAAGGGTTGCTTGGAAGAACTGTTAATAGATCACATGCAGTGAATTTCTATTTCCTAACAATTAAATAATATACTAAACCTTCAGTATCCAGGAAAATACTGTATACTGATGACTCATGTCTTAATAACAACTCTGGGTCTTGGATAAGTTAATTAAAGATATGAAGGAACGAGGGGTATTTTATTTTTTAATATATCAACTAGAGTATACTTAAATACCTTGAATTATAGATACTTATTTAATTAATAATAATATGCTTAAAGTATTCAGTCATCCTTGTACTGTATTAAGATATACAAACCTACTTAATCCTAACCTAACCTAATCTAACCTTATCTAACCTGATGTAACTTTGACTTTACTTTTCTTTTATCCTCTTCACTGATCGGCTCGTTAGCCGCTTGGGCGATCGTTCACATCTCTGTTACACGGTCCGACTAATTACCCAAATGTAGCCAAATATAGCCGGAATGAAGTCAAATGATGGTCGTACAAGCGTAATTCGGGCTGTGAATCACTTCTCGATTATTATTTGGTGTTATAAAGTAAAAAAAATTGGTAAACTTAATTTAATTTGAGTTGTGTTGTGTTAGGTTAGGTTAGATTAGATTAGATTAGATTAGATTAGATTAGGTTAGGTACATGCACGTGATCTATTAACTCAGATTAAATTAAGTTTACCAATTTTTTGTGACTTCGTGACACCAAATACTAGTCGAGGTTAGGTTAGGTTTGGTACATGCACTCGATCTATTAACTCAGATTAAATTAAGTTTACCAATTTTTTGTGACTTTGTGACACCAAATACTAGTCGAGAAGTGATTGGCAGTCCGATTTATTCATCTAGGACCATTATTTGACTTCATTGCGACTACATTTGGGTACATTTGGGTAATTCCTCGCTCCGTCGGTACATGCACGCTATCTATTAACTCAGATTAAAGTAAGTTTTCCAATTTTTTGTGACTTTGTGACACCAAATACTAGTCGAGAAGTGATTGGCAGTCCGATTTATTCATCTAGGACCATTATTTGACATCATTCCGGCTATATTTGGCTACATTTGGGTACATTTGGGTAATTAGTCGGACCCTCTGTTACACACTGACAAGTATTGGGCATGCACCGGCTCCTGAATGTACCTGAACCTGCTCCAGTGTTGGTCAAGTCCGGTCTTGAAAGAGCTCACACTCAGTGCCATCACAACAGTTTTTGGCAGATTGTTCCAAGAGGAGAATGACAAGACTAATCCCGGGCATTAGGAACCTTGAGTACAGAGACAGGTTAAAGCATCTTAATTTGCACTTCCTCGAGAGACGTAGAGTGAGGGGCGACATGATAGAGGTGTATAAATGGAAGTCAGGGTTAAACAAAGGGGACATTACAAAGGTACTCAAACTATCCAACCAGGAGCGAACTCGCAACAACGGTTTTAAATTAGACAAATTTAGATTTCGGCGTGAAATAGGTAAACACTGGTTTGGAAACAGAGTAGTGGATGAATGGAACAAGTTACCAAATATCATCATTAATTCGAATACGCTGGATAGCTTCAAACATAGGTTGGATGCTTGGATGCTTATATGAGCAATAGGGGTTGGGTATAAACGGGACTGCCCAGTATGGGTCAATAGGCCCGCTGCAGTTGCCTCCATTCTTATGTTCTTATGTTCACAACTCTCACTTTGAAAAAGTTACCCCTCACAGTTTCCTGAACCCGCCACTTCTTCAATCTTGAGCTGTGACCCCTTGTAGGGCGAGCGTCCGCCAGCTCCAAGTAAAGACACTTGACTGAGTAGTGCCCCTTGAGATGCTTATACACCTCAATTAGGTCACCCCTTGCCCGTCTGTAGTATAAGCTAGGCAAGTTCAGGTGCTCCAATCTCTCAGGGTAGTTGAGGTGCCGAAGTGCAGGCACCAGTTTGGTGGCCCTCCTTTTTCATCCAAGTGAACTGACAGTCCCTAGCGTATCTCGGGGACCAGACTGGGTGACAGTACTCCAGATGGGGAAGCACTTCACCCTTGAAAATCGTTACGAGGGACGGACCGTCTAGATATCTGAACGACCTTTTTATAAGACCTGATACTTTATTTGCCTGATTTACCTTCTTCTCGTACTGGCCCGAGAACTTCAGCTCATTGTCAACATACACACCTAGGTCCTTCTCACATTCAGTCTCAAATAGTGCAGTTTCTTCATCCCGTTGGGACATATGATACGCCGCCTTACCGTTGGTACGCACCAGGTGCATCCTCTTAAATTTCGTGACATTGAATCTCAGCAGCCATTTCTTCGACCATTCTTGTAGCTCACAGAGATCCTTCTGCAGCTCTCCACAGTCAGCTTGGTTTTTTATTTCCCGAAATAACTTGCCGTCATCCGCAAACATTTGTATTGAGGAGTGTACAACGTCAGGCAATTCATTTATGAAACAAACAAACAACAGCGGGCTCAATACATTGGGCTGTGGTACCCCACTTGTGACAGGTACAGATGATGAATTCGTGCCATTAATCACCACACACTGCCTGCAGTCATGTAGAATGGGGTACACTGTCGAAAGCCTTGGCAAAATCTAGGTAAATATTGTCGATATTTCCACCCTGTTCCAGAATATGGGTCCAAATATTCAATACCTTGAGCAATTGTGTTAAGCAGGAGCGTCCAGGCATAAAACCGTGTTGGCAATCTTTTACAAGGTTGTTTCGTAGTAGATGTTCCACCGTGGCATCTCTGATAAAACTCTCAAGTACTTTACATATTATGCTGGTCAGGCTCACCGGTCTATAGTTCGTGGAGTGACAATCGCCCTTCTTGAAGATAGGACTCATATAAGCCATTTTCCAATCACTGGGAACCTTTTGTTCATCCAGGCATTTACAGAACAGGATCTTCGGGGGCTCGGCAAGCTCATTGCACAACTCTCTTAGCACTCTGGGATGCATCATGTCAGGGCCGGGACTCTTATGGACCTTTAGCTTTGACAGTTTATTTCTACTACCCTCTTCTGTGAACACAATGTGGGTCAGTGCTGTGTCGAACCGTCTGTCCTCAAACACAGGAAGGTTAATCATATCCTCTCTTGTGAACACCGAAGAAAAGAAACTGTTCAATTCCTCAGCTTTATCCTGATCAGTATCTGCGTAACTACAAACTTCAAGCCTCAGGTCTGATTAGGGTGGCCATTTCCAAATTTCCCCAAAAGAGGAATATTTTTCCGCTTTTTTTTTTACGACATCTAATTTTTAACCTAAATTAAGCATGTTTAATGATGAGTTGAAAATATATAAAAAGTTGTATAGAATATACAAAATATACTTAGAAGAATTGTTGATTTGTCAAATATCACTATAATGTGATGAATGCTATTTTGTGGTCATTTTTATAAAATTTCATTTTTTATTAAATGCACTGCATATATTACATACAACACATGTATTCATACAGTATTAATAAAGAACTGAAAGAAATTCATGTTCATTTTTACTCCTGCTGAAATAGCATATGCTGACCAAATTAACTTACTTCACAAACTAAAGGAAGTAGCCTACTTACCATGGACTGCCAGGTATGGATGTTTATTTTTTGTATTTCTGCCCTTTACTTGCCATCTCCAAGAGTTTTCTGTTGGCCAGGAATTTTTTGTACATGGCTGGGCACTCTTCTGAGAAGTTACAGATTTGGAGCTCTGCTTTGACTGAGTCCACTTGCAGACGGTTTCTCTCGTTTCTCCTAGCTGAGGTCGTCATTGAAAAAACTCGTTCTGTCTGAGCATTGCTGCATGAGATAGAGAAGATATAAACGCTCACCGTCTTCAGGTTTGTGAAAGGGACCTCAGATTTACTGAACAGCTTGAGATAACGTTCCTCACTGTGGCTATCTACCATCTCAGGAGTATTGATAATTGCCTCCACAATCCCATACTCTTCATATAATTCATCCATATCAATATCTTGAAGGTTACAGGCCTTGACTGACTGCATCACAGAATTCTTGTTAGATTCAACTTTGACACTTTGTTATGAAAGCTGTTTTCAGAGAAGTCATACCTGTCACATAAATACTTTATGACTCTTTCATAGAAAACAATGAAGTCTGCTTCACATTTCTTAGACACATCTGGGGTAAGCTGGCTGAGCTTGGTCTTCACTGCTAAGCCAAAAAAAAACAGTCCTTTACTCTTCTCTCAAGTTTGCTTTTCAGTTCAGCCATTAGCTTAAATACTGAAATTATGCTGAATGACTTGGCTTCTAGTGCTTCAATAGTGTCTGAGAACAATTTAAGAGTGTGACTGAGGAAGAAGAAATAGATCTCTGACGATTCACAGGCATTTCCTTCATCTCCAAAGCACTTCCACGGTACCTTGGGGCACTCTCCCTCACCTAAGCTCTTGAAATAACTTTTTAGGACTTCCCAGCACTTAAGTATTCTGTCAATAGATGGCAAAAGAGAGAGCCATCTAGTCACAACGTGCCGCAACAGATTGCAATTATCACCTCCACAATTTCACAGAATTTCTTGAACTGTGCTGTTCGTTTAGCCGAGATGCTGAAATGGTTATACACTTTGAACACAATATTTTCAACATCAATTTCCAGTTTTCCTGTAGCAAATCTTGTTGCATTGTGCAAAATAGGAGCCAGACAGTTTGCAGCAATAACGTTCTATTGAGCCATTTTCAATTTTTTATAAACACTGTTGTGTTTTCCATAGTTTACACTTATATTGTCAGCAGTGTATGTAGACACTTTATTCAGACCCAGACCTGACATCTCTAGTTTAGAAAGTAGCTGATTTGTTATGGCCTCTGATGATTATCGCTGTAAAAGTCAAGTAACACATGTTGCACCTTTGTTTGAAGCATCAGTTGCTATTGAAAAGGGCAAGTCATCTTCTTTGATGCACTCCACATGCGTTTGTACAGAATACGGAGCTAGAATATTTTCACACAGAGCTTTTGCTTTAGTTTCCCACATGTTACACCTTTCACTATCAATGAGTCACTGTATATTTCTTTGTTAACTATTACTCTACAATTACAGTAAAACCTCGATTAACCGACCCTCGATTAACCGACTTTCGGATTAACCGACAATCCAGAACTCCTGAAAAAAAAAATTATTTTTAATTTCTTTTATGGGGATTAGCCCACCCGGGCACAGGTCACTGACCCACATTGGGGCCTGGGGGGCGATAATGTAATAATATTATTAATGATAATGATAATAATAGTAATAAAGAACCATAAATAAATGCAAAAATGAAAAAAAATCAAGAATGAGAAACAATATATGTATGTTTTGTTGTCAATAGTAAGAGAAGCAATTGAAACCCTGCTATTGTGTGTAAATGAGGCAGAAAGTCAGATCAGCAACCTGGGACATGGTCACAATTTTTGTGATGACACGTTCTTTGACTTTTCCATTTTTTATTCACGGTTTCTGTGCTGGTTCATATTTATTTACTAAAGTGGTTAATGTTTTAAAGCAAATTCTATTGAAATATGAATGGCAAATGAACAAAAATGAATAGAGGGAATTAAATGAGGTAGGTTAGGGAAAGGTACTTTGAAAATGTATGTTTTATTTCCGTAGACTTTATGTACTAAACCGACCTTTCGAATTATCCGTCGGCCCCTTCCCCCCATATGTGGTCTGTTAATCGAGGTTTTACTGTAACACTTCTGTATGACTGGTGATGCTTCACAGCTTGATACACTTTACACAGTTCTGCAGCCAAGATTTTGCCATTTTGAGATGATCGAGCTGGGGAGAATAATGATAACAGTGATGACGTAGCAGCACTACGAGTGTTAATTTGGTTTATCTGTGGTAGCGTGTCATTCAACTGCACATTTTCCCTTACTGCCAATCTCCATATCACAATGGCATAGTGTACAAAAAACATGAAAGTCATCTTTTCTGCTTTTAGCAATAAATCCAAATTCTTTGGCCCATTCATGGTTAAATGTAGTCTTTCTTTTTGGCATTTCTTTAGGGGCTTGAAGCAAGAACAAAAAAGTCAACCACTCTCCACTGCGGCCTTGGGCAGACTGGCCATCTCGGACGTGTTGATGGTGTTGACAACTTGACTCGTACACTGCGTCTCATCAGCAGTGTTGACAACGGCAACTACATATAATAAAAATAGGTTAACTGTTATTATGGCCTTCAGTTCCCGCTGTTTTAAGTGTTCCTAAGGTAATTTATATAATTATTTTTAGTCAGATCCCAAAAAGGAGGACAAATTAACGTCCGGCTCGAGGTAGCGCCGGACGGAGGACAGAGTGCTCAAAAGCCGGACGTCTGGCCACCCTAGATCTTATACGTACTCCTACTTGCGTTTTTAATTTCGACTTTGCATTGCGTTTGACTTGACCTCGCTTGCAACTAGCCTCTGGAACTCCTTTTCAGCCTTTCTACACTCTGCCTTTGCTTGGTTTCTGGCTCTTGCATACATCCTCCTGTCCTGCTCATCGTTTGACCTAACCCACGTCTTGAATTTCTGGGTTTTCATAGGTAGGGATCCCCTCGTATTCCAAGAGGCGCTTTGTTTGGTCACTTTTCACGTCACTAGCAACCCATTCACACTCGCCTTAGAAGTCGTAATCTGCAGCAGAGTCGGCTGTTTTTTCGTCACTCACTCAGAAAGACTGAGCGGACGAGCGTAAATGCATGAATGAGCAGCCACGGTGGCTCATCTGGTGAGCAAATAAGGCATTTGTTTGCCATGGCGGTACATTTGAAATATTTCCTGCCCGATCTCCCTCGCGATATAAAAACAATTATTGCTATATATAGGAAAATTTGATAATTTTTGTAGCCACGATATAATTTTTTTTTTATATAAAGTCCCGATATATCTCAACCCTACTGTATTTGGAACTTGGCCTGGCTTTATCTTGAACTAGGTAACAGTGAATCTGAATGACAACACTGCATGATGACTGGTGCCACCTGGGGCTAGATGTTCCAGTTTGGCCACCATACCCTCCTCGTTTGTTATGGTGAGGTCTAGTGGTTCGGGTGTTTGCTCCCTTCTGTAATGTGTCGGGTCTTTTACATATTGGAACAGAAAATTATCTCTCAGAGTTTCTACAAAAAAGAGTAGCAGGGTTATTCAAGTCATATGGGGTGAACTCGTTTCTCCAGTCAATGTTGCCATAGTTAAAGTCCCCCATGATAAGGAGGTGGCTAGGGTTGAGCATCGCCGCATTGTCTATTAAGGCTCTTAAGTTCCTTTGATTTAGTGGGCCACAGTTCAGGGATCTTGTAGATACACCTGACAATAACTACTGCTCTTAGTAGTAACTCCGGCCCCCCTCCATTCTCAGAAGTAGTAACTCCGGCCCCCCTCCATTCTCAGAAGTAGTAACTCCGGCCCCCCTCCATTCTCAGAAGTAGTAACTCCGGCCCCCCTCCATTCTAGAAGTTCCGGCCCCCTCCATTCTCAAGTAGTAACTCTGGCCCCCCTCCATTCTCAGAAGTAGTAACTCCGGCCCCCCTCCATTCTCAGAAGCTGCAGCATTTGCTAAGTACTGTTCACTGTATTTTGCAGGGTGTGGTTAGAAATGTCATTGTTTACACGGCACTCGCTTCCTCCTGTCTGGTAGGCGGAGCTGGTGCCACCTCCCTGGTGGGGGGTAGAGCTGCTGCTCCCTGGCTCTGTGTCGGCACACTTACTTCCACTACCCTCCCCCTGAATATAACCCATGTACACCTGTCCCCGTTCCTCCTTGACTCATCCCTCTTCTGCTTCAAGCCCTGCAGGAGCTTCTTGTGTTGTTCCCTCTGCATTACCATGCAATCTGGGTGAATGAATACATTCCGAAATACCTCGCTCCTCACTCACTGGTGTGATCCTGAGGGGGCGAGGCTTGTGCCCCTGCTTCTGATCCTGCATTACTCTCCACCACCTCCTGTGGCCCTGTTAAAGCCTGAGCATAACTCCTCTTTTCAACCACCTCCATTCTATTGGCTGCTTCCTCAGTCTTAGGAAGGATCTCTTTTCCAACTTGTTCTAGTTTGGCAACCAGCAAGAATCCAGCTTCATCTATTTTCGACCCTAGGGAACTCATTTCCTATGGCTTGCAATTGCATCTTTCACCTTGACTATGCAATCTGGGCAATACCAGCAGCAGCCTTCATGCTTTACGGCAACTTGTATCGTCCTAAACTCTGTATTGGTCAGGTCTGTACCATCTACATCCGTCGTCACCCTGCAGTAATCACATGTCAAACTCCTCATGGTTGTTGCTGTTGTTGGGGGGTGCAGACTGTGTACAGATCTACACCTACCCGGTATTTAAAAAAACAAAAAAACACAGTACTTAGCTGCCCTCTGCTGGTTTTAATCTCCCCTCATTTGTCCAATGTTGCCCTCCAAGACAGTTTGAGTTATCTTCTGATTTCCCTTTTTTTTTTTTGCTAGTTCTCCTCGACCAGTTGTTGGCATCTATGCGCTAACCCGATGTACACTTTATCTTGCTATGAATGACTGATCATATGGCCACTCAGTCCTTTAGAAACACTTCTAATTGTTGGTTTAATAATAATAATAATATTGATCCTTATTATTACTTTTATAATTTCCTTTAATCTGTGTCCTGGCAGCAGGGCCTTAGCGTTAAGGTCCCTTTAAAAGCCTCGTTCCGCTGCCCGGGTATAGGCCGTTATGGCAAGTGTCATCCACCTGGCAAGCGCAATTTATTTCGTCTGATCAAGAGATATACCTCTCAGTGGGATGACTTCCTTAATAATCACATCTACTAAATTAAAATGTGCGGGGTTAGGTTCTCAAAATGGCCGTGAATATCCAAATCCGCGAATGACATTTGCTGACGGTCTGTACTTTTTTTAGTCGTGTACAAAGAAATGTATATTCCCTTTATGTGTTTGCCCTTAGGACAATTATTTTTTTACCTGTATTGTATCGTAATATCTCTGTTAGCTGGAATCCCTCAAACCCGGAACTCTCCGATAGCTGGAATTGAAATTTTCTCGTAAAATCGTTCCCAAAGCCGAAATTTTCTGGAAAATTCCGGGGATGTTGGAGTTTTTTCAATGTGTGAGAGATGAAAATCAGGCGCATTTTCTGGAAATTCTGAGAAATTTTTTCCGTTACACAGAAAATTCAAGGGATGAGGGATATTTTTCTGGGTTCGAGAGAATCGTCTCGTTACCTGGAAATCTCTCATTCCTGGAAGTGCTCTGCACCAATTGTTCCAGCTAGCAGGGATATCACTGTATGTGTGTGTTTGTAGAGAGAGACACAAACATTCCCAAAACACATTCAGTACAGTAATCCCGTGTTTTTTGCGGGAATTACATTCCTGAAACCCCCGCGAAAAGCCAAAACCGCGAATACACTTTTTAGGAATCACTGTACCTGTGGCCACCAAACAGCTCAGGTAGGTCATGCACTTAACCACACTATGCTCTCCACTCACGGCCCAGTGGTCACATCATTATTTGAAACTAATCATATTGTAGTATAATAATGGAAAAACTTAAACACAGTTATGTACAAAAAATATTTATTTACAAGTAAATAAAAAATGTTATATTTCGCTGAGGTAGTAGGCAGCTATCAAATAGGGAGGTACTACCGCCTGGGAAGATATTGGAAGCGTAATGTGTTGCCTAATGGTGGACCCTGCTGCCATATGGCATCACGAAAATTGTGACCAAGTCCAAGGTTGCTGATCTGTCTTTCTGCCTCATTTACACACAATTGCAGGGTCTCAATTGTTTCTCTTACATGACGAAACAACATACATAAAGCATTTCTCACTGTTGATTTTTTCATTCTTGTATTTCTTTATATTTATTATTATTATTATTATCACAGTGTTGTGATTATTATTATTATTACCATTAATATTTTATTTTACTTTTAATTATAAATTTTATTTACTATGAATTATTATTATTATTATATTTTCGCCCCCCCCAGGCCCCAATGTGGGTCAGTGACCTGTGCCCGGGTGGGCTAATACCCGAAGAAAAAAAAAAAAAAACGCATTGCCAGCCTCTCCCTGCTGTCCTGGCATCTGCCCGCACTCACGCAGTCATGCCAGCCAGCCAGTCCTCTTCCACCCACATTGCTCCACTTGAAGACTTGTATTCTGACATAGCTCATACCAACTCTGAGCTTGTCCAATAAACTGTTTCTTCCATTAAGGTCATCACTATTCTTGATCTCTTGGTCACTTTAGAGTCTTTGCTAGTAATATTTTCCTTTGATGAGGCTGGCATACGTTCCGGAGCCATGTGGAATGCACATGGGAGGACAAACAGAAGAGGTAATCACAGTAGTGTTCACAGTACGGTAGGCACGTGTGGACTGAGGCTCCTCGGAGCAGCGGGTGTCTGAGGCGGGAAAGGGTGGTGTCTGTTTGCCACACCACACGGGAATATTGAAAATGGTGCGAAAATAAATTTGTTATTTTTAAAGGATATTTTATATATACAGTACGTATATAATTAAAAAAAAAAAAAACGCTAATGGTCAAAACCGCGATAAAAACCCCAGCAAAAAACACGGGATTACTGTACAAATAAATAATAATGGGAAAATCCTCTCATAAATAATAAAAAACAAAACAACAAATTTAGAAAAAAATGTGAGTCTACCCTCAAGTCAACTCCGTACTTTGTTATTAGATTAACTTTAATAACAAAGCACAGAGTTGACTTGAGGGTAGACTCTCACATATACAATACAAGTAAAAGAATTTACTGTCTCTAGAATGAATGACTTCCTGTCCCGGCCGCAAAAATGCCGGCAACTTTAAAACTACCCTTAGACATTCTTGGGTACATCTCGGGTGTCATCAACGAATAATTGAGGTCTGCGAATTGTCAGGGCATGCTGTATTTATGTTGACAAATTTTCATAAACAGCATTAGTACTGTACAGCATAGAGCTTTGCAAATTTAAGAGGATGTGGTATTGACTAATGAGAGTGTGTGTGGTGATGTATATCTTGTCAAGTGCTTGCATACCTGCAGTGTTCAATTAAACATAAAAAATTTCAAACGTAATACTGTATGTATAGTACAGTATATAGTATAACACAGGGGTATTTGATTTTTTTTTTGTCTTTATGATGCATAGATCACAATACAGTACAGTACATCCTTTAATCTGTTTCAGTGAAGTGTTCAAAGCCCGTGATAGACGAACAGGCAAAGTTGTGGCACTTAAGAAGATTCTCATGGAAAACGAGAAAGAAGGGGTGAGTCATTTCCTAAGAATTTTTGTAAATAAGAATTAATTAGGAATAGTTATTGCTGTGCTTGTTAATAATGAGTCTTGAAACTTATTTATCCTGTACTGTATGTGAAAATTGTGATAACCAGGTTATATTGGAAAAAAAACAAGAATATATAGTAACTTAAAATGATTCAGGAGTTGTTATGTAGCATATATTTTACCTGCTGTAATAAGTGTTTGAGTGAAACTAGTATAGTGAAAACATAGAGTTACTGGTTTATATCTGGTACAGTAAAAGGTAATTCTCTGGAATGTGTGTACAGGTTAACCTGGAAGTTCAAATTTTTTTTGTATAGAATGTGATTACTTCCTACCTCATGAAATTCACAGCAAATCAGGTGGATTTGCAATTTTTGTAATGTTGGTGACTTTTTTGTACTAATGTGTCCTGCAGAAAACATTTTCATTGATGACATGAGTACCGTTTCATATACAATAATACTTCCTAGCATCTGTTCCACACAAAGGAACACTAGACAGCAACTGCCATAAAGTATGATTTATCAGAGATAAGATGAATCAACCTAACCTACCTAGCTACACTGAGGAATGTTCCTATATTTACCTAATGGACACCCACTAGGTGGTGGATACACAAACCTTTAGATTAGTGTTCAGGATGAGAAAGTCACCCAAATAATACAGTACAGTAGTAAAAAACTTGCAAATGTTTTACACTTTTGGGGATTTCCTTGAGATAAGAAAAAAGTCATCTTGTACTATACAAAAATTTTCTAAAGTTCCTGGTTAACTTGTTCCAGAATACAGTAATACCCAATAAAAGCCCACCGGGTCTAAACAGAAGTGATGTGTAAAGACTCTTGTTTGTAACCTTGAATTGAATTTAGAAACTGACTTATGGAAGGTTTGTTGTTTATATAAAAAAGAGATACAGTACAGTATGCCTGTTTTTACATTTATCGCCCTTCTTTCAGTTCCCCATCACAGCGCTACGAGAGATCAGAATCTTGAAGTTACTCAGACATGACAATGTTGTAAACCTTCTGGAAATAGCTCGTACAAAAGGTTAGTTCCAGAATCTGTCATATGAGTGAAGTTCACATACAGTACAGTGTCTATTTAGTGATTTTCAGAATAATCTGTTGTTATGGTGTTTATTGAGAGCTGTGCATTGTTTTTGTTGTGAGTGGAGTATGAATCTTAGCATTTGTCTGTTGTAAAGAAACACAGGAGGCACTAAATAAGAGCTAAGACAGCATTTTGAAATATCCATAAATATCTGTTCTTCTTACATTACAGTATACAGGTAACTCACGTTTGATTTAAGCATTTTTGGAACAACGTGATTGTTCAATTAATACCAAAAGCTAATTTACGCGCACCTATTTTCTAAATAACGTGATCAAGACAGTTTAAATTTGTCGTTAGTATTTGCCAGGTCGCCTGGCAGTGGAGTCACGTGTGATGCCTGGTGAGGTGTTTGTAAGTTATTACTATAAAGTCGCAGTTATATCAACATCAACGATTTTAATATTATTATTAATAATAATAATTATTATAATAATGAAATAATAGAGATTAATACTACTAATGATGAAGATAATGATGATAATGAAGTATTCTGTACAACAACTGTGACCACGTCCAGCAAGCTTCCCGCATATTGCTTTCTCAGTTCACACTAGCACTACTTTTTCTCTCTGCTTTCATTTTCATTGTGTGTTTATCACGTACCTTTTTAGTGTTAAACACCGTTTTCCCCATTGAGCATGTCTGGAAAATGTCCAACTGCCTACTCTGGGGCGCCTAAAATTAAAAAGGCACAAAAACAATCGCATTGGACGTGAAATTAGATGTAAACACCTGCCTTCATAGAGGAGAGCGTGTGTTGACCGCGTGCTTGGTTTAAGTGAGAGCACTGTTCGTACCATTTGAGACAATGCTGAGAAGATAAAGAACAGTGCTCAGTCAGGGACATCTGCAAGTGCAACGAAAACCACTTATGCTGGGAGTTCTACAATGGAGCATATGGAAAGGATGCTGAGTACGTGGATTGAAGATCAAAATCAGCACAACGTACCAGTCAGCATGTTCCTAGCCAGGGCAAAAGCGCATGCAATCCATGAAGAGAAGCAGAAGGATGAAGAAGGACCAGTGAAACCATTCAGTGCTAGTTCTGGCTGGTTCTCTAACTTCAGTTGAAGATACTGGTGTCACAACATCAAGATGAGTGGGGAGGCTGCATCTGCCAATGCCGTGGCTGCCGAGCAATTTGTCGGAACTCTGAAGGGTATTGTTGAGGAGGGAGGCTACTTTCAATATGGATGAAACTATTTTGGAAGAGAATGCCATCACGAACGTATATCTCTCGCGAGGAAAAATCAAGCACCAGGCTTCAAGGCCGTTTAGGATCGTTATACCTTATTGTCTGGAGGTAATGCTGAAGGTGAATACAATTAAAACAAGTGATGATGGCGTACCACTCCATAAACCCACGTGCTCTCAAGGGTTATTCTAAACATCTCTTACCAGTTCACTACTTCTCAAATAACAAGGGGTGGATTACTGGTTGTCTTTTCTGTGATTATGTTGTGTCAAAGCTGGAGGATGAGTTACGTGAATATTGTGAACGTGAGAATCTTTCTTTTAAAATATTATTGCGAGTGGATAACGCCCCCGGACATCCACCTTCAATTTAAGATCTTTGTGAAAACATTCAAATTGTCTATCTTCCACTGAATACGACATCCCTCATTCAGCTTGTGGATCAAGGAGTGGTTAGTAAGTTTAAGGCTTATTATCTCAACAAAGCATTTGATGCTGTAGTGAAGGCTACTGATGATGATAAAATGACTGTGAAAGAATTCTGGAAATCTTTTAACTTTAGAGACTATAATGTTTGTTGGTGAGGCATGGGACAAAGTTAGTCTTTCGTGTATGAATGGAGTTTGGAAAAAACTATGTCCGCATCTTGTGTATGACTTTAGAGGTTTTAGTGTTGAAAGTGATCTGTGTAAAACCAGAGAAAACATTGTGAGTTTGGCTAAGAAAGTAGGTCTTGAAGAGGTGGAGTTAGATGACATGCAGGAGTTATTAGACTCACATAAAGAAGAACTTTCGCCACAAGATTTGCTTGATTTAGAAAAAAAGCAGGAAGAAGAGGAAGCAGACAAGAAAGAGGAGCCTGAGGTCGTTCGAACTCTAACAGCAAAGCGGTTGACAGAGGCAATCACTTTAATTAACGTGTTTTGGCTATTATAGACGAAGACGATATAAATAGTGATCGTAGCTCAAAAGTGAGTAGAAATGTGCATTCGCCTATGCAGTGCTACAAAGAAATCCTGCGAGAAAACTAAATGAAAGCCACCCAAAAGTCATTGCTCTCATATTTCAAGAATTCTGACAGAAACGCACCTCAGCCATTGACATGAGGCATCACCAGACCATAACCTACCTCAGCCACCGACTCACTCATACCCTCTCCCCCGCCTCAGTTGCCTCCCTCCTCAACCCTCCACTACGCCACCTTTGTCAAGTAGAAGTCACCAGTCGTCAATGTAAGTGTTCTTTAAGATGTGTTTACTATTGTTTTTCCATTATTAACTGTTTTTTCTTTATGAATGAGTAAGGTAAAAGAATATTTATTGTGAGTTACCCTGTATGGTGTAAGATGGTTCCCCTAACCTGTACCATTTACATGTATTCTTATGGGAAAATTATGTTTAATTTACGCATTTTTTAATTAAGCGGTGGTTTTCAAGAATGTAACCCCCGCGTAAAACAAGAGGTCGGTGTACTGTACAATATTCATGTTAAGGGTATGTGGACTTAGCCCTTTCCTACCTCATTATACACCTGTCTTGTAACACTCCCTCTATCATATTGGTCTGCCAAGCTTTTTTCTGGCATTCCCTAATATTTCTGCAGGTAAAAGGCTTCCAGATGGGTAGTAAAAGAGCTGTATCCAAATCCTAGGCTTGAAAGAGGAAACTGCATGCAGAAGATAAAATGGACAGCCAGTTCATGATGACACAGCAATACAAGTCAATTCTAGGTGAAGAATATTCTAGATATGGCTCATTTCCTTGTTGAGAAGTTGTTTTACCTTTAGAAAGCATTTGTTTGCTCTAAAACAGGGGTTCCCAAGCATTTTACATCTAGTGCTGTTGTCCATCCAGAGAGAGAGTGAGAGAGAGAGAGAGAGAGTCCCTTGCCAACAACCACAGGGTTTAGGTTCCTGAAGAAACCCTTTGTTGGCAAGATTAAAGGCTTATGGGAAATACCGGTAAGGGGTTAGGTTCCATGGCACCAGATAACACTCATCAAAGCCTAACTAATTTTTGTTTTACTGTTGCATGCACATGCAATTGTTCAAGTAAAATAAGAGGAATGATTATTATATGGTCAAAAAAGTGAAGAGAATAAACTTATCTTACATCTGCAGGAGTTGCCTACGATCTTGGGCGAGGGAGCGTGATTCTGTCTTCTGTGTCCTTAGTAAAATGATTGCCATTGGCAATGCAGTATTTTTATTTGATTTATTAATATTATTTTTATTCATGCCTCATCATTTACGGAGGAATACATTAGACTGTGGAGGGATAAAGACGTCACTCTAATCCATGGATACTCAAAATTCAATGCTGTGGTTGGTGAAATGGTATACAGAGTAAAAACCGTGGAAACCTGGAATCTGCGGTTGGCGAGGGTTTATCGTGTGGTCAGCACGTGTGTGTGACGTAATGGTCAGCACGTTCGCCGCGCAAGAGAGTGGACCCGGGTTTGATCCCCGGGCAGGGTGAAACTTTGGGCAAGTTTCTTTATGCCATTTGACTTTGTCTACCCAGCAGTAATTGGGAACCTGGATGTTAATCGATTTGCAGATCGTATTCCAGGGTAATGGTTAGCCAGTGTAGCTGGCGAGCTGTCCGGTCTTCTCGGACTATTCCTTGACACCGGGTCATGCAACTTGTTTTTTCTGGAAAAGCTAGATAATGATCTCTAAAATTCAGGTTGGCTGTTTCATATATCGTGAATTTCGCGATATCCGGCCAACTGAATGCTGGCCACCATCTTGAATGACGTCGCAGCCCTCATACCACTTACAGTCATTTCTGCTACAATGCGTGTTTTGTCAACCCGAATTGGTTGTAACGCGATTGATGAATAGGGGAATGCTGTTTGTAAAATGTGAACTTTTGCATACGAATGTTGGCTATAACATGATTCCATCCTCAATGTTTTAAGCGTGGCGCGGGGTTATGCAATGTTTACAGTTCATGTTCGACACCACAGGTTCAATTGATTTGTGTCTTTTGTTTGTGAAGTGTTTTTTGAGAGGTACTCTGTAAATTTCCTTTTTTTTTTTTGCAAATTTAGCTGTTACCCATAAATACTGTATGAAAAGAATAAGTAAAAAGAATGTTTCGCAGTGAGGACTAATTACGGTTTATACCAGCGCTCTCTGTTTACATCACGTGATCAGTTGAATCGTGCGGTTTTTGTTGATTGCTCCGTGATTTTCGCTGTTTTCTCCAATTTTGTTGTGTTAGTGATGAATATGGAAAGACAAGGTAAGAAGAATGTTTTCAAGAAGTGTTCTGGTGATCGAATTGCTGGTGGTGAACGTAAAAGAGGTTTACAAGAATGCAACTCTCGCGTTGTGGCCCGAGCTATCCTAGCGACCGCCCGGGCTGCTAGTGTGTGCTTTTTTGGGTGGTGCTGCCACCTGTCGAGTCAAGATAATGGCCTCTACCTCTACTGGGGGTCCTACTGGTGCTGGTGGGACAGACTCATCTAAGCGGCCAAATAAGGAAAGGAGAAGCGTCCCGGTTCTCCTTTTCCTTATCGTAAGGGAGTTAAGTTTGCCAAGTACTTGATGCAGGATAACCAGCGTGTGATTAAGTTACTTGAGGAAGGCTTAAAAACTAGTTTCCGGAAAGTACAATCAGGTCAATAAAGGCAAAATTTGTATAATTTTGAGGTTATTTTTCCCCTTAGTTTATGTATTTGCATTTGGCGAATTGGAATTTGGCAAAATTTTTCCAGTCTATTATTACTCACAA